CTCACTCCACAACCCTCACCTGCCCAGGCGTTCCCACCAGCAGAACTGAGCCTGCCTCCTCATCCCAGCCTGCCCTGCTGCCCAGACGACTCCATGCCTCTCAGAGGCAGAGGTCCCACGCCAGCCTTTCACCCACAGTAGCCACACAGCCTCCTCCAGACCAGCACTCGGACTGCCCTGCAGTGGCCGCTTGGGCCTCCCAGGCTGTTCCTCCTGGCCCCAGGCTTTACCTTGGAAACCTGAGAGGTGCCAGCTCTCTCGATCCTCCCTTGATTCGCTCCTCCCCCAATGGACGCTGCTCTCATGGGACACTTGTGGACTGCAGGAGCCTGGGGAGCAGCCAAACCCTGGAGGCAGCCTTCGGGTGATGGCTTTTTCTTCCCTTTTCCTTCTAGGGGCCTGTTTTTCGGTGTTTTTAGCATTTCTGCCTCCAGGCAGGATAACCGGGTGAGCAGCTTTGGGAGAGACACCTGGCCTTTTTCTCCTGGAGCTTCTCCCTCCTGCCCTAGGAAGGGGCAGCAGCCTTGTGTTCCCCCAGCTTGGCAGATGGGCCGCATGCGGCGCTCCCTTCCATCCCACGCTCAGTGGCCCCGGCCAGACCCTGGCAGAGTTCACACCTCATTGCTTTATCCCCTGGGGTCTGGGGGAAATGTCTGTACTTTGGGATGTCACAGAAATACATTTTTGTGCAAAGTGGAGAACAGAGCGTCTTTTGTGTTGAAGGGATTGCTAGCCTGGCTTCCAGGCTCCAGAGCAGGGCTCGAGCTACCCCTCTCGGGGGCTACAGTATGGGTAGTTCTGGGGTAGGGAGGGGTGCGTTTGGTGGGTTAAAGGCTACAGCCTGGGGACAGGTGGCAGTGGACTGAACTGGAGTACCTGTTTCCTCTGCCTTCTCTTCACACCCCTGTGCCCACTGAGGACACAGCTGGCAACCAGTCCAAGAGGGTGCCTGCCTAGGACAGCTCAGCCTGATGGGGGAGACAGATGGCAAATAGGAGATTACAACTCTGTGCCACCAGTGGGGAGAAGGCAGCAGACTAGGTGTCTCTGGCCAGCAGGTGGGAGTGGGCAGGCTGGTCAGGGAAGACTGGACTCCACTGGGCCACAGTGCTTCGGGGAGAGGGGGAGGAGCCAGTGTGGTGTCCCCATGTGTCTGGGAGGCTTCTCACAAGAGGACAGAGTGGAGCCAAACGCAGTGAAAAGACAGAGGCTGCCCAGGTCTGGCCCAAGGTGCTGAGGAAAAGAGCATCCTCAGCAGAGGGTCCTGCCAGGGTGGACAGAGAAGCAGCCCCATGTGGCCCTGGCAGCGTGAGGATCAAGGGTGCAGTGGGAGGGGACCAAGAAGTCGCTGGGGCCAAATTGTGAGGTGGCCAGACTGCAGCATGGCCCAGGGCCATCCTGACTGACACCTGTGGTCCCGCACCACTATCGACAGTGGCTTCACATCCTCAGAGCTGCCTGGCTGGACTAAGAAATGATATGGTCACACCCTTTACAGGCCACAGTGAGTGTGTGGATTTTATTCTCTATGTGAGGTTTTAAGCCTGGGTATCAGAGCAGGCTTAAGCGTTTCTGGAAGCTGAGCACTGACTCCTCCCACAGGCTCTGTGAAGCTAAGGTCCCCTCTTCTCCACCACCTGCAGGGCCTGGACCTGGCCTCTCTCTCCCCTGGGTGAGAGCCCCTGCCACTGGCCACCCACAGGACCTGGCAGGAAGGGCATCAGGTGTTTGCCTCGGAACCCTGGTGGGGCGTCTGTGCCTGGGAGGGAATGAGGGCAGTGCCTGCCAGCAGCAGCCAACACTGCTGAACCTTCATCTCTGTGCCAGGCCCTGTGCTAAGTGCTTCATGGACCTTCTGCTTCCTTAGAACACTGGCAGTAATCCATTTCACAGACAAGGACACTGAGACTCAGAAAGGTGAAGTGACTTCATTTTTTTATTTTTTTTTTTTGAGACCAAGGTCTCACTTTGTCCAGGCTGAGTGCAATGGCACAGTCACAGCTCACTGCAGCCTCGACCTCCTGGGCTCAAGCAGTCCTTGCACCTCAGCCTCCCAAGTAGCTGGGGCCACAGATGTGTACTCCCATGCACATCTAATTTTTGTTTTTTTTTTTGTAGAAATGGGGTCCCACTATGTTGCCAGGCTGGTCTCAAACTCCTGGGCTTAAGCAATCCTCCCACCTCAGCCTTCCACAGTGTTGAGATTACAGGCATGTGCCACCACGCCTGGCCTGGTATGACTTCTTACTTCAAGGTTGCCACAGTAAAGGAGGGAAAACAAGGTCCTCCGGATGTGCCAGGTGCTCCTCCTCTAGCTCCTTGGCTTGGTACCTGCCATTTCCTGTATCAGGAACACTAGTTCCTGCTCATTCCATCACAGCACCTACTTATCTCATGGAGCTAAAATTGCTTTGTTTAGTCTCCCGCATTGGACTGGGAGCAACAAGACACATGGAGGCTCTGCTGTAGCCCAGCACAGAACCTGGCACATTGAGAGATCTCATTTTAAAATCGTGTGGCCAGGCTGGGTGCAGTGGCTCACACCTGTCATCCCAGCACTTTGGGAGGCTGAGGAAGGAGAATCACTTGAGCCTGGGAGTCAGAGATTGCAGTGAGCTGAGATCATGCCACGGCACTCCAGCCTGGGCGACAGGGCAAGACTCCATCTAAAAAAAAAAAACCTAGGTGATAGGATGAGCTGTGCAGCAAACCACTGTGGCACACGTTTGCCTGTGTAACAAACCTGCACGTCCTGCACATGTGCTCCTGAGCTTACAATGAAAGTTGAAGGAGAGAGAAAAAGAAACTATATTTTGCTATGCAGCACCTTTAAACAAGACCTACCTCTCCAAAAGTAGACTGACGTAAAGCAATTCTACTGAGTCTCACTAAGAAATGTGACCTCTGGCCGGTGCGGTGGCTCACGCCTATAATCCCAGCACTTTGGGAGGCAGAGGTGGGTGGATCACAAGGTCAGGAGTTCAAGTCCAGCCTGACCAACATGGTGAAACCCTGTCTATACTAAAAATACAAAAATTAGCCAGGTGTGGTGGCATGCACCTGCAGTCCCAGCTACTGCGGAGGCTGAGGCAGGAGAATCAACTGAACCCAGGAGGTGGAAATTGCAGTCAGCCCAGATTGCACCACTGCAGCACTCCAGAGTGAGGCTCTGTCTAAAAAAAAAAAAAATGGCTGGGCATCGTGGCTCACACCTGTAATCCCAGCACTTTGGGAGGCCGAGGCAGGCAGTTCACAAGGTCAAGATATTGAGACCATCCTGGCCAACATGGTGAAACCCCGTCTCTACTAAAAATACAAAAATCAGACCAGGTGCAGTGGCTCATGCCTATAATTCTAGCACTTTGGAAGGCCAAGGTGGGTGGATCATGAGGTCAGGAGTTCGAGACCAGTGGTGGTGTGTGCCTGTAATCCCACCTAAAAAAAAAATATAAATACAAAAATTAGCTATCTGGCAACAGAGCAAGATTCCGTGTCAAAAAAAAAAAAAAAAAAAAAGGTGGGAATTCATTGGCTCTTGCAACCAGGGGCTGCAGAGTTAGTATTGGCTTCAGGAACAGCTGGATCTAGAGGGTTCAAAGTTGTTTGGACCATCTCCCTGCTCCCCACTTTAGTGCTGCTTATCTATCTCTATGTGTCTTTATAAATTGGTCTCCAGCCAGGCGCAGTGGCTCATGCCTGTAATCCCAGCACTTTGGGAGGCTGAGGTGGGTGGATCACGACGTCAGGAGTTCAAGACCAGCTTGGCCAATAGGGTAAAGCCCAGTCTCTACTAAAAATACCAAAACAAAAACAACTAGCCAGGCGTGGTGGCGCGTGCCTGTAGTCCCAGCTACTCGGGAGGCTGAGGCAAGAGAATTGCTTGAATCCAGGAGGCGGAGGTTGCAGTGAGCCGAGACTGAGCCACTGCACTCCAGCCTGGGCAATAGAGGGAGACTCCGTCTCAAAATAAATAAATAAATAAAAATAAGTTGGTCCTGCGCGGTGGCTCAAGCCTGTAATCCCAGCACTTTGGGAGGCCGAGGTGGGTGGATCACGAGGTCAAGAGATCGAGACCATCCTGGTCAACATGGTGAAACCCCGTCTCTACTAAAAATACAAAAAATTAGCTGGGCATGGTGGCGAGTGCCTGTGATCCCAGCTACTCGGGAGGCTGAGGCAGGAGAATTGCTTGAACCCAGGAGGCAGAGGTTGCAGTGAGCCGAGATCACGCCATTGCACTCCAGCCTGGATAACAAGAGTGAAACTCCGTCTCAAAAAAAAAAAAAAAAAAGGTTGGTCTCATTTTCTCCAGCCACAGACAGGATAGGTCCTCTCCTCACAGTGTAAAGATGGCTCCCGGTTGCCTTATATCCCATTCCTTAGGCTCGAGATCCAAAACAATGCCCCTTCCTCTCAGCATCTAAACAGTAATCTCATGGAAGGCCTGTTATTGGTTCTGCAGAGACGCACGCACACAGCCTGCCACCCGCACGCCATCCAATGAGGTGAGGGGCAGTCCCTCCAATCACATGGAATCGGAAGTCGATTCCCCCAACCAAAAAAAGGATGTTGAGCTGAGAAAAACAACAGATGTCAGAGGAGTAGCCTGGAGGAGCGGGGATGGAGCCAATTAGATGTTGGCGGAGGAGGATGCTGGTATCAGCGGGAGGTGCTGTGGAGAGGCAGGGCTGAGTGGGGAAGGCCCTGGGGATACAGAGGAGGACAGCCTGAAGCCTCCAGAGGGGAAAGTCCGCCTTTTAGGTGGGGGCTCACAGCAGGAGAGGCAAGACAGTCCTGTGCCAGACAAGGCGCTTCCATTATTTAATCCTCCCAAATACCTTAGGAGGGAGACACTATTGACAGCCTCCTTATAGAGATAGAAAACAGCTCAGAGGGGCTCAGTAACTCTCCCAGTGTCACTTGGGTAGGAAGGGGCAGTGATGGTATTTCTGACTCCCGCCTAAGTTGGATCAGCCATAATCGGAATGTGCCCCACGTACCTCCACTTTCTCTCGTCCGTTTGCAATACCTGATAATAAACAGCAAAGAGGTAAAGCTGTCATCACAGAGAAACCTTGGGCGAGCCCTGGCCCTCTCGAGACCTTAATCATCACATCTTTGAAATGGGCACAATTTTGCCTCCCGGACTCAAAGCAAGCGGCTGGATCGTTGAAGCGCCCAGGGAGCTATGCGCATGCGCAAGGCTGTGGGGCGGGTACAGGAGAGAGCGGAGGAGGGCCGCGCGCGCTCCAGGGCTTTCAAAAGTTACCTGGCGGGTGGGGCTGGGGTTGGGGGAGTTATCAGCTGCGCGCGCGCGCCGGCCCCGCCCTCAGCCTCTTCAGGCACCTGTTGGCTTGAGGGCCCACTCAGCCGCAGCTGCCATCCAATAGGCAGCCTCTCTGACCCAGTCCGGCCCCGCCCCCTCCTCGATTCACCAATTCCCGGGCGGCCGCGTGCCCCTCCCTCGGAGGGCCCGCCCCTCTGGGCGCTTCTTCCGGGTGGGGCCCCGGGCCGAGGCGATGGCGCCCTGGGCGCTCCTCAGCCCTGGGATCCTGGTGCGGACCCGGCATACCGTGCTGACATGGGGGATCACGCTGGTGCTCTTCCTGCACGATACCGGTGAGCCGGACCCCGAGCAACCCCGGACCCACCCGATCCCGCGTGGTTCCCCAGACGTTTGGGTCTCACTGGGTCTCCCGCCTAATCCCTGGAGATCCTGGGATTGGCCCGAAATCCGCCAGCTCCTGAAGCCCCCTCCCCATCTATCATTCCAAGAGTCAACAGCAGTTGGCTGATACCCCGTCGATCCCTAATTAATCCCAGCATCTTCCTGATCACTGCCAGATGCCCTGTCTATCCCAGACCTAGCCGGTGCCCACCAGATCCAAGGACCGACTTGAACCCCATGTCCCCTGATCCTGGGACCCACATGATCCTTCCCAGGAACCTGACCCCAAATCTTTCCATCCATACGATTACGCAGCTCAACTATATGCAAAGATTGGCATTCTGCCCACACCCACACCTCCACACCCCCATGGCCACTAGCTGCCCAAGTCCAGGCAACCCCTCAGGCAAGAGAACACCCCATGGGATGCAGCCCATCTCCCATCTTCCCACAGGAACACCCATTCACCCACCCACCTCCATTTTCTTCAGTAACCCCCTACCTAGCACCTCACCTGCCACACACAGGCAGCCTCCCCCACTGTCACCCACTGCAGCCCCCAGCCCTCCTTCCATGGTGGTCCAGCCTCAGTTTCTGGACTGGGACCCCTTCTGGCTTTACTCCCAAGACCTCAAACCTTCTCCACCACCTTCACCCTTTAGCCTAAAAACTTGCTCAGGTCTCCCTATAAGAAAAGGACCCCTCTCAAAAGCCACCCTTTTATCTCTGCTCCTTCTTGCAACCAAGGGACACTGGATTTGTCCACACTCTGCTGTCTGGTGGTCTCATGCCCCCCCATTCCTTGTCCTGCACCCCACCTCCCAACTTCCTGTCGTCTCCATGTGCTGAAGCCCACTGGACCCTGCCTTATGCCCCTCTGCAGCGTCTGAGCCTGCCAGCTGCACCCTCCCCCATATAGCTGTCTCAGGCATTTCAGACCTGGCCAGTCTCTCACCATGGCAGAGCCAGAGACCCTGGACCCCTCCTCCCTCTCCCCCACATCCTGTCAGGTCTGGCTTCCTTAGAAGCCCCCTCTGTCTATTCCCTCCTCTCTCACTCCCTGCCAGGCCTTTGCAGCTACCCTCTTCTTCCTCCTGGCCAGATTCTCTGCCCCCAGGCTTCCCCGATCCATTTCTCTAGCAATGAGGTTTTCCAAAACAGATCTGGTCCTGTAACCTTCCATGGTTCCCTCTGACCCTCCAGATAAAGTGCAGATGAACTGCTGGCCACACACAGCCACTCATGGAACCAACCTCTCCAGGCTTTCGCTCAGCCAGGAACACACTTCCCCACCTCCAGCTGCACCCCAGCCCCATCCACTCCTGTTCTGCCCAGCCCAGCCTCACTGTGCTCTCTGGCCTCTCCAGAGCTGCGGCAATGGGAGGAGCAGGGGGAGCTGCTCCTGCCGCTCACCTTTCTGCTCCTGGTGCTGGGCTCCCTGCTGCTCTACCTCGCTGTGTCACTCATGGACCCTGGCTACGTGAATGTGCAGCCTCAGCCTCAGGTAACCAGGGGCCCTGACTCTCGCCCACAGGGACTCAATACCCAGTAGTCTCCACTCCAGGTTCTGTGCTGCAGGCTCTTGCGGGGGCAGCTCAGTGAATCCTCTTGCCAGTTCTAGAGCTCCATCCTACATTAGCAAGGAAACTGCTGGGACCAGAGAAGGAAGAGACTGACAAGCATCACACAGCTGCCTTCAGTCCAGGGTGCTCTGCCACACCCACACCTCCATTCTACATGGGATGGGCCCCAAACTCCACAGAGCTAAGCCGGTCCCTAGGGGAGCTGCTTACTAGTGCCACCTTTCTCCCAAGGGGACCGTGTCTTACACCCCACCCCTCATTCCAGGAGGAGATCAAAGAGGAGCAGACAGCCATGGTTTCTCCGGCCATCCCTCTTCGGCGCTGCAGATACTGCCTGGTGCTGGTGAGTGAGGCAGGAACCCCCGTGGGAGAGGTTGGGCCAAAGCGGAGACTCCTCAACCTCCTCCTGCCCCACTGCCTGGGCCTCACCCCTCCTCCAAGAAGGGCCTTCCAGATTCAGTCCCTGATTCCCCCCTCAGTGGTGGGCCCACAGCGGGGCTGGCACTGAGCCCTCACTCTCCTCCATGCCCACAGCAACCCCTGAGGGCTCGGCACTGCCGTGAGTGCCGCCGCTGTGTCCGCCGCTACGACCACCACTGCCCCTGGATGGAGAACTGTGTGGGGGAGCGCAACCACCCACTCTTTGTGGTCTACCTGGTGCTGCAGCTGCTGGTGCTTCTGTGGGGCCTCTATCTGGCATGGTAGGTGCTGCCCGGGGTGTGGGGAGAGGGTGGGATGCATGCTTCCAAAGGGGTGGACAGAGCCAGGGCTCCCAGGGACCCTGCACAGGGAGGGAAGAGCTCCCCAGCCCTCCCCAACAGCAGGCCCCTGTTCCCGGCACCGCAGGTCAGGCCTCCGGTTCTTCCAGCCCTGGGGGCTGTGGCTTCGGTCCAGCGGGCTCCTGTTTGCCACCTTCCTGCTGCTGTCCCTCTTCTCATTGGTGGCCAGCCTGCTCCTTGCCTCGCACCTCTACCTGGTGGCCAGCAACACCACCACCTGGGAGTTCATGTCCTCACACCGCATCACCTATCTCCGCCAGCGCCCCGACAACCCCTTCGACCAGGGCCTGACCCGCAACCTGGCCCACTTCTTCTGCGGATGGCCCTCGGGATCCTGGGAGACCCTCTGGGCTGAGGAGGAGGAGGAGGGCAGCAGCCCAGCTGTTTAGGGTCGCTGGAGGCCGGGCTGCCGTCTAGTGCCTGAAAACCACAGGGCCTGTTCCCAGCTGGTGTCAGCCCTCGGAGGGCCTGGGGCCCTCTTCCTGCCCACTCCTCAGGCCCCAGAATGGAGCTTCAAGACAGACAGATCCCTGCCTCAGTGGGCGGTTCTGCCTTCCAAGGAAGAAGGGGAAGACCTGTGGGCAGCTCAGGCCCAAACGGACCTCAGGCTCCACCCCAGCCCAACCCAGCCCAGGCTGCCGCCAGTGTACATGTATGAATTTAATAATCTATAAAGCAAGTTAAATCCTAAAAAGACAAATCGTATCACTCCTCACTGTGGTACCCTTTCTGGGCCAGGTCTCACTGGGAGGTAAAGGAGGACAAGCTGGAGGGGGAGGGAACACACTTTGCCCAGGGACACTGAGCAAAGCCCACGACAGCAGACCCATGGCTGCCACCTTGAGTCCCAAGGCTCATAAATGCCAAGCAAGTCCTGGGCCTCCAGGCAGGGCCTCCAGACAGGTGGGTGAGCAGAGGCTCTAACAGTCTGTGGGGGTAGGAGGCAGAGGTGCCACGAGACGCCCTCAGGGCTCCAGGAATTGCTCTGACACAAAATCGAAGTCCCGGAAGGCAGCCTGTTGGCGGGCAGTGAGGGGGCTGTGGGGTGCAGGTGGGGTCAGGGCAGGCGGCAGCCCTGTGAATTCATCCTCAAAGTAGCGCAGGTCCGCAGGGCCACAGAGGGTGGGCACAAAAGGGGGCTGGACGGTGCGGGCAAGCAGGGCCTGCCAGTTGGTGGTCTGGAGGAAAAGGAGAGGTGCCTGAGATGGCGGGAATGTCAACCCCAGGAGTCACTCCATGCCACCCACCCTGCCAGGCACAGGGGACCACTGCCACCCCAGCCGCTCACCCTGAAGAATGGCTGGACCTTGATCTCCTCAGCATCCTGCTCCCCCGCCCCGAGGCGCTTCTCCGGGCACTTCTGGAGGAGCTGGGCAATAGGATAGGCGCTCACTTAGGGCATTCAGCCCCAGGCACCGCCACCATCCACAGGCCCCAAGCGCGCTGGCCCAGAGGGCTCCAAGGATGGGTGTCAGGGGGTCTGCTGTCCCATGGAAGAGGGCACACGGGCCTTGAGTGGCCATCCAGCCCAGTCCCAGCCCCTGCAGTACTTACCTTCTGAATGAGCTCAAGCCCTTGCACTGACAGAAAGCCGGGGTAGGGGGCATCGGTGTTCACGATGCAATCAAACACCTCCTCCTCAGTGTCTCCTGGGAACGGGCACTGTGGAGATGGGGCTCAGCAGGATGCACGGGGCCCCTCCACCCCAACCCAGAGGCCCAGGCAGCACACTCCAGCACTCACCTCGCCCACCAGCATCTCGTAGAGCAGCACGCCCAGCCCCCACCAGTCCACAGCCCGAGTATACGCCTCCTGTGTCAGGACCTCGGGAGCCAGAAACTCCGGGGTGCCACAGAAGGTGCTAGTCCGGTCCCCAAAGCCAATCCCTGCAAACCAACACACACACCAATAGCTGCTTGCTGTGGCCTATTCACAAAAACCTCAACGGCCAAGCCTTATGATGCAGGAAGCTGAGCCTATGCCAAGCCCTGCCCTGTACCCAAGGAAGTGGGAATGTTTACGCCGCCATTCAACTGCAGGCTCACAGGCTAAGGTCACAGGAGGCAGAACTCAGGCTCCTCTCCCAGCCCTAACCACAGGCTTTCCCTCAGGCCAAAGGCAGGCCGGGGATCTCTACGAACTTCTAGGGCTGGGAAGAAAGGGACAGCGTGCCCAGCTGTCCCATGGAATGAGGTCTGGGGTGGGGGAACCAGGGCATCTGTGGATGGGGAGATTTCCTGGGAGATGCCATGTGCCCATAATCCTGTTGGCCAGGCTTGGTAGACGAGACTGGAGATGTGGATCCCAATGGGCGGCCCCCACCTTCCTTGCAGAGTCCAAAGTCTGCGATCTTCAGAAATCCCTGAGCATCCAGCAGAAGATTATCCAACTTCAGATCCCTGAGGGCAAGGGTGCAGGTCAAAGGGGATGGGCAGGGCTTAGACCCAGGGAACAGCAACTGCTCCTGGAGCAGCCCAGACAGGAGGGAGGTGGTATCTTAGTTCTCATCCACCCCACCGCCACCCCCAGGCATCCCTGGACAAAAGTCACCTGTAAATGATCTTCTTCTCATGTAAGAACTGCAGCCCCAGGACAACACAAGCCAGGTAGAAGCTGCAGGGGTGGTTATGAAAGAACTCAGGACGGAGGCAGGGCAGGGAGGCACCAGGATGTCCCAGCCAGAGTCAGAGGTGAGTGAGACTGGGACAAGCATCATGCTCAGGTTGGGGGTGCTCCAACAGTCCCAAGGTCACCCCAAGGTTGCTGTGCACTCCCACCCCACCCTTCCTGGGCTGAGGGCCAAGTGTGCACACAGCGCCCTGCAGTTGATTTTTATAATCATGCCTACTTTTCTTTTCTTTTTTTTTTTTGTTCTGTTACCAGCCTGGAGGGCAGTGGTATGATCTCAGCTCACTGCAACCTCCGCCTCCCAGGTTGAAGCGATTCTCCTGCCTCAGCCTCCCGAGTAGCTAGAAATACAAGTGCCCACCACCATGCCCAGCTAATTTTTTTTTTTTTGTATTTTTAGTAGAGATGTGGTTTCACCGTGTTAGCCAGGATGGTCTCAATCTCTTGACTTCATGCTCTGTCCACCTCCGCCTCCCAAAGTGCTGGAATTACAGGCATGAGCCACCGCACCCAGCCTTGTTTTTTTTTTTTTTTTTTTTGAAACGGAGTCTCACTCTGTCACCCAGGCTGTGCAGTGGCAGGATCTTGGCTCACTGCAACCTCTGCCTCCTAGGTTTAAGCGATTCTCCTGCCTCAGCCTCCCAAGTAGCTGGGACTACAGGCATGCACCACCATGCCTGGATAATTTTTATATTTTTAGTAGAGACACAGTTTCGCCATGTTGGCCAGGATGGTCATGAACTCCTGACCTCAGGTAATCTGCCTGCATCAGCCTCCCTAAGTGCTGGGATTTCAGGTACCTGGCCAATCATGCCTATTTTTCTTTTTTTGGTGGGGACACAGTTTCACTCTTGTTGCCCAGGCTGGAGTGCAATGGCCTGGTCTTGGCTCATTGCAACCTCTGTCTCCCAGGTTCAAGTGATTCTCTTGCCTTCTCCCAAGTAGCTGGTATTACAGGCATGCACCACCATATTCGGCTAATTTTGTATTTTTAGTAGAGATGGGGTTTCCCCATGTTGGTCAGACTGGTCTCGAACTCCCGACCTCAGGTGATCTGTCTGTCTCAGCCACCCAAAGTGTGGGATTACAGGCATGAGCCACTGCGCTCGGACAGTCATGCCTATTTTTCAAATAAGATCTGAGACTTGCCAGGTGTGGTGATGGCTCACACCTGTAATCCCAGCACTTTGGGAAGCTGAGGTGGGCAGATCACGAGGTCATGAGTTCGAGACCAGCCTGGCCAACATGGCGAAACCCCGTCTCTACTAAAAATACAAAAATTAGCCAAGCGTGGTGGCAGGCTCCTGTAATCCCAGCTACTTGGGAGGCCGAGGCAGTAGAATCGCTTGGACCCAGGAGGTAGAGATTGCAGTGAGCCAAGATCACGCCACTGCATTCCAGCCTGGGTGACCGAGCAAGACTCTGTCTCAAAAACAAAAACCTAATGCACAGCTTCATAAGCTAATGCCCAGGGTCATGAATGCTGTCAGTTGGTGCCAGGATGTGAGCCAAGGCCTCTGATTCCTGCTCCTCTGCTGCCGGGCACCTGGAGAAAGCAGGATGTAGGGAGCGGGTGTAGAGAACCAGGCAAAGTTTGCTGGAAGAGGCAGGCAGGAGGGATGGAACCCACCAGGCCTGGGGCTCCGGGAAGACATCCTCGTGGATCTGCATCATGAGGTCACCACCAGGCACAAACTCAGTCACGAAGCAGGCATGGCTGGAGGTCTGGAAGCACGCAAGGAGGGAGAGCAAGAAGGGGTGCCCTGTGCGACCCACAGCCTCCAGGATCCGCTTCTCACAGTACAGGCTGCAGGAGAGAGCAAGAGTCTTAGAGGGAAGGAAAACGTCCCCTGGGCTGTGCCCTGTGCCCTGCACAACACCTCTGGCTCCCTGTGCCCTCAGCCAAAGTGCCAGGTGGGTAGGCGGATGGTTTCTTTTTTTGTTTGTTTTTGAGACAGAATCTTGCTCTGTCACCCGGGCTGGAGTGCAGTGATGCGATCTTGGCTCACGGCAACCTCTGCCTTCCAAATTCAAGTGGTTCTCCTACATCACCTTCCCAAGAAGCTGGAATTACAGGTGTGTGCTACTATGCCCAGCTAATTTTTATATTTTTAGTAGAGACAGGATTTCACCATGTTGCCCAGGCTGGTCTCAAACTCTTGGCCTCAAGTTATCTACCTGCTATAGCCTTCCAGAATGCTGGGATTACAAGCATGAACCACCACACCCAGCCCCTTTTTTTTTCTCGAGATGGAGTCTCACTCTTGTTACCCAGGCTGGAGTGCAATGGTGCAGTATCAGCTCATTGCAACCTCTGCCTCCCAGGTTCAGGCAATTCTCCTACCTCAGCCTCCTGAGTAGCTGGGATTACAGGCACGCGCCACCATGCCCAGCTAATTTTGGTATTTTTAGTAGAGATGGGTTTTCACCATGTTGGCCAGGATGGTCTTGGTCTCTTGACCTCGTGATCTGCCTGCCTCGGCCTCCCAAAGCCTGGGATTACAGGTGTAAGCCACCGTGCCTGGCCCTGTTTTGTTTGTTTGTTTTGAGACAAGGCCTTGCTTTGTTGCCCAAGCTGGAGTGAAGTGGTGCGATCTTGGCGCACTGCAACCTCCACCTCTTGGGTTGCAGAGCAACCCTCCCACCTCAGACTCACAAGTAGCCGGGACCACAGGTGCACACCAGCATGCCCAGCTAATTTTTCTATTTTTTTGTAGGGAGGGGGTTTTGCCATGTTACCTAGGCTGGCCTCTAACTCCTGGGCTAAAGCAATCCTCCCACCTTGGCCTCCTGAAGTACTGGGATTATAGGTATGAGCTACTGTGCCCAGCCTCCCCTTTGTTTTTAATTTATTATTCTTTTTTTAGATGAGGTCTCATTCTGTCGCCCAGGCTGCAGATCTCTGGTAAAAACTGCAACTTCCACCTCCTGAGCTCAAGCAATCCTTTCACCTCAGACTCCCAGCTATTTTTTGTAGATTGGGTTTCACCATGTGGTTCAGATTGGTCTTAAACTCCTTGGCTCAAGTGATCCACCTGCCTTGGCCTCCCAAAGTGCTGGGATTACATGCATGAGCCACTGCGCCTGGCTGCAGAGAGATGGTTTCTATATGACAGGGGCTCACAAGGGCCTCTGAACCTGCACAGCTACCAATGCCCTGTTTCACAGTAGAGTAAACTGACAGTCAGAGAGAAGAGGAGACCTGCTCAAGGAAACAGTTAACTACTGTAGGCACCAAAAGAGAATGCAGGCCTGGCTGGCCCCCACGGGGTCACCTCTCCAAAGCCCTAGGAGCCTTTCGCTGACCTCTGGATGCCACAGCCCAGGCCAGCCATCCTGGATGCTCTGCGGCGCCCCCACACACCTGTCTATCTCGTCCCGGCCGAGCACCTCCTGCTTCTTCAGCGCTTTGATGGCGTAGTATTTCCCCGTCCCCTTGAACTGGACCAGGAGGACCTGAGGCCAGAGTGAGGCTGGGCTCCAGGTGGGCCGCACCAGGGAGCCTCTGCCACCATGCCCACATATCAGGTCCTCCCAGCTCATGTGATGAGGCCCCCAACTCTGTCCCACGGCGGCACCAGCTTGAGCCCACTACCTTCCCAAAGTGTCCCCGGCCCAACACAGCCAAGCAGCGGAAGTCCTGAAGCCGAGGGGGTTTCCTGCAAAGAAAGAGATGGTACAGGCAGGGCGCAGTGGCTCACACCTATAACCCCAGCACTTTGGGAGGCCAAGGCGGGCGGATCACAAGGTCAGGAGTTTGAGACCATCCTGGCCAGCATGGTGAAACCCGGTCTCTACTAAAAAAATACAAAAATTAGCTGGGCATGGTGGCATGCATCTGTAATCCCAGCTACTGGGAGGCTGAGGCAGGAGAATCACTTGAACCTGGGAGGCAGAGGTTGCAGTGAGCCAAGATCACCCCATTGCACTCCAGCCTGGTGACAGAGAGAGACTCCATCTCAAAAAAAAAAGTACAGGAAGTCCCCTAGGACAAGGGCTAGGTCCCCACCCAGAGCCACTCCAAGCCTCCCATCCCCAGTCCTGGGCTTTCCTGACCTATGGGCTCATAAGAAAGCCCTGCAGTAAGGGCTTCTAGAAGCTGGCATACAGCTGGAGCTCAATAATGTGGACTTTGCAAATTAGACCAGGAGAGCCAGGGAGTAATGTACAACGGATACACAAACTTTCAAGCAAGCAGACGAACGTCTCAAACGTGAAGATACGCAGGATCAGGGTACCTGGTGGGGGAGGCTGGTGAAGACGGCCCACGTCGAGTCCTAGGCTCCATATGGGGGCGTTTGGTGCGCTGTGAGGACAGAGAAGCTCAGGGCGGGGCTGGGTTTCCTTCTCTCTTTCCCTCCAGGTCGACTACCCCACGCCTGGGTGGCCCCACCAGCCCTGGTCACCCCTAGGAGCCACTAGTCCTGCCAGCCCCTCACCGGCGTCTCCTCAGATGTTGGCTCCTGGGGGAGGTAGAGGCGTGGAGGCTTGGGTGGGGGCATCATCTCTTCACCCAAGGGGGTCTTCCTGGGCAGAAAATTACTGTAGAGAGGAAGTAGACACACAGGGCCCAGCATGGGCAGATAAAAGAGCCAGCAGGATCGACACACTACTCCAAAGTGAGACAGACAGAGGGTTGGGGACTGAGCAATGTGGACAGATAGACAGACAGACAGACACCGCCTGGACCCGGAGCAAGGCAGCCGCACAGAGAAGCATACAGTCTAGGGGAGAGCACTCCTCACCTGGGGGTGGGAGGGTCAGAGGCCTCTCGAGGTGTTGCCGGGGTCCGAGGGCACCCTTTGGGGGGACTGATGGTGCTCGGGGAGCTGCAGGGGGGCAGTAGGTTCATGACGAGACGCCCCCAGGCCGCCATGCTGAGGTTCATCTGCGAAGCCCTCAGGAAGTCCTGGCCTGGGAGAAAAAGGGGAGCTCAGTCCCCCCAGGGCCCCAGCCCTACTCATTCGTACACAACCCCCATTCTCTCCACACCTCTGCGTTTAGAGAAGATGCGTTTCTGCCTCCGCAGCCGGGGTCGCCTCTCAATGACAGGATCGCAGAAGGTCACCTGCAGGGGGGGAGCAAGGTTGTGGACCAGTCGCCTCCCACATCTGCCACGGCACCTTCTCTGCCCCTGCGATCCCAGCCCAGGCCCCCAGTGTGAACAGACGCAAGAGCCAGAGGACCCACAGAAACAGATTCAATGTCCTCATTGGTAATAGCAGGGAAACGGAGGCCCAAGGAAGAGCCACTTGTCCAGGGTCACGCCTGAGGCAGGGCAGTCAGGACAAGGACCCAGGCCTCCAGATGCAGCCCCGAGAGGGTGGCTAGGAGTCCTTATTCTTGGTGACTCTCTGGTCCCCAATCTCTGCATCTACGTGTAGTGCATTGGTCTCGAAGGCCTTCCTGGCCCTGATCTCCCAGAGCCCGCCAGGTCAGAGGGCGGAGGCAGTGAGCACCTGGGCAAAAAGCAGCCCCTGCGGTACCAGGCTGAGGGACAGTTGGTGACAGGCATTGTCCAGGAAGTCCTCAAGTCTCAGAAAGGCCACGCCACAGAGCTGCCGCCAGTCCCGCCAATGCACCCCAATCTCCAGCTCACGGGCCTGTATTGGGGAGGGCAGGCTGAAGGGTGGGGTGCAGGACCAGCCCCGACCCGGGCAGCCTTCTGCCCCATAGCCCAAGGGCACCCCTGACCAAACAAAAGCTGGCCTTACTCGCTCCAGTGGGATGACGAAGGTCTGGTTCCAGGACTGTTCAGCCACCTGCCCCCAGCCCGTCTGGCCCACAACGCGGTTGTCCACCTTTAGTACGGCCAGCACCTCGCCTGCAGGGCCAGAGCCGGGGCTCAGGGCAGGCCAGGAGCAGGGCTCTCCTGCTCCCCCACTGAGCTCATTCCCTACTCACTGGCAAGCTCGCCTCGGCCTCGCTGCTGCTTGGCCCTGGTCCGAAGCCAGCCCTCGGAGGGGCTGCCGGCCAGTGCGGCCACCGGGGAGCGTCCAGGCACAGTGGTCAGCAACTGTTCACAGCCCAGGAGACGAACCTGCAATGTCCCTGTGGGGAGGGAGGGTGGGGGCACTGTCAGATGCCATCTTCCCACTGCCACCACCAAGGTGTCCCGGAACCCAGGAAGGCCACCCTCCCCAGGAGGTGGCTGAACCCGGACCCTACCCACCCGAGGCCAGGGCAGCTACCTGAGGAACCTCACCCAGTATGGTGCCCTGGAGTGCCTGAACAGGAGCCTGCAGCTCCTGTTGCCCCCACTGCAGCTCCCAAGCACCATGAGCCACCCCAAAGAGTGCCCTTGGACCCCGATGACACCCTGGGAGGCCTCCGACTTAGCCACTGCCAGGTGAGGAGCCACCTTGTCCCAGACTGCATGCTTCTCTGTGGCAGCCACCCTCTCCAGGGCAGAGGAACTGGCTCTCCCCTCCACGTGCTGGAGTGGCAGGGACACTGGCTCAAACCTCAGAACTCAGCCAGGCTGCACAGAGCTGTAGCACATGACAGGATGCTGCCCAGAGCGGGCACCTGGAGAGCACTGTGGCAAGGACAAGAGCTTAGGACAGGGAGCCGGAAGCCTGGCTTCCTGTCCTGACCCACTTGCTCCCTGGGCCTCAGTTTCCCCATCTGAACAATGGAAGTTAGTCCCAGCTCAGCCCCAACTTCCCCAACAGATATAAAATGTGTTTTGCCAGCAGAGTAAGTTCATGTGTCAGGTCACAAGAGGGTTAGAGAAAGGGTAGAGAAAGCAGTGTGGCCGGGCACGGTGGCTCACACCTGTAATCCCAGCACTTTGGGAGGTCGAGGCGGGTGGATCACAAAGCCAGGAGTTCGAGACCAGTCTGGCCAACATGGTGAAACCCCGTCTCTACTAAAACTGCAAAAATTAGCTAGGCGTGGTAGTGCCTGCCTGCAATCCCAGCTACTCAGGAGGCTGAGGCAGAAGAATTGCTTGAATTAAAAACCGTGGAGGTTGCGGTGAGCTGAGATCACACCATTGAACTGCAGCCTGGGCAACAAGAGTGAAACTCTATCTCAACAAAAAAAAAAAAAAAGAAAGAAAGAGAAAGCAGTGGGGATAGGGCAGCTTTTGAGGGCACAAAGTGGGCCCAAGAGCATCATTTAGGGAGAGTCTGGGCCTGGGGGTTACACTCAGAGAGACCCTGTAAACAAAGGCAGGGGTCCAGGGTAGAAAGATCACCTTAGGAAGGACAACTCAAGTAACTGGGGTGTTTAGCCAGGAGACAGGATATAGGGCAGCCCTGAGTAGCTGAATTCTAGGCCTTTCAACAAGCTGTTTCTTCTGCATTCCTCAACTTGCCCATAAGTACTCCCATGTAAGTTCTTCAAGGCCAAGACACCACCCCTCTACAATAAACATTCCTTGGGCCGGGAGTGGTGGCTCATGCCTGTAATCCTAGCACTTTGGGAGGCCAAGGCAGGTGGATCACCTGAGGTCAGGAGTTTTGAGACCAGCCTGGCCAATATGGCGAAACTCTGTCTCTACTAATAATATAAAAAGTAGCCAGGCATGGTGGCGTGCACCTGTAATCCCAGCTAGTCACAAAGCTGAGGCGGGAGAATTACTTGAAGTGTGGGGTCCAGGAGGCGGAGGTTGCAGTAAGCCAATATCACACCACTGGACCCCAGTATAAGCGACAGTGCGAGACTCCACCTCAAATATACGGAAAGAAAACATTCCTTGATTCCCCAAGGCCAGGTGAGAGGGCACCATCCAGAGCCTGCATTTCCTCTTCTCAGCTCTGCTCACAATGGAATGGGTCAGTCTGTTCTGCAGCAGTGCTCTGTGTGGGCAGGCGCTGGCCTTTCCAGCTCAAACGGTATCGGTGGGAAGCTCAGGGCTTCAAAGCCCATGCTCTGAGATTATTTGTTGATTACAATTTGGCTGCTATTACAAGGAGACAGATCTCAGTACAAGATAAGAAAACTTTTTTTCTTTTTGAGACGGAGTCTTGCTTTGTTGCCCACACTGGAGTGCAGTGGCGCAATCTCAGCTCACTGCAACCTCTGCCTCCTAGGTTCAAGAAATTCTCCTGCCTCAGCCTCTCAAGTAGTTGGGATTACAGGCACGTGCCACCATACCCAGCTAATTTTTGTTTTTTTATTTTTTTGTGGCGCAATCTCAGCTCATCGCAACCTCTGCCTCCTGGGTTCAAGCGATTCTCCTGCCTTAGCCTCCCCAGTAGCTGTGATTACAGGCATGTGCCACCACACCTGACTAATTTTGTATCCACCGTCTAGGCCTCCCAAAGTGCTGGGATTACAGGCGTGAGCCACCACACCTGGCCTTTTTTTTCTAAAGACAAGTTCTCACTCCATGGTCTAGGCTGGAAAGCAGTGGCATGATCATGGCTCACCGCAGTCTCAACCTCCCTGGGCTCAAGCGATCCTCCCGCCTCAACCTCCCAAGTAGCTGGGACTATAGGTATGAACCATCAAACCCAGATAATTTTTGTATTTTTTGTAGAGTTGGAGTTTTGTCATGTTACCCAGTTGGTCACAAACTCCTGGACTCAAGTGATCCACATGTCTCAGCCTCCTAAAGTGCTAGGATTACAGCTGTGAGCCAACTGTACCCAGCCATTTTAGTTTAATTTCACTGTTATTATTTTTCCAAGAAACCTCTTGTTTTTTTTTCAAGACAGAGTCATGTTCTGTCGCCCAGGCTGGAGTGCAATGGCTCGATTACAGCTCACTGTAACCTCCGCCTCCTGGGCTCAAGAGATTCTCGTGTCTCAGCCTCCTGAGTAGCTGAGATTACAGGCACCCGCTACCATGCCTGGCTAATTTTTGTATTTTTAGTATAGACGGGGTTTCACCATGTTGGCCAGGCTGGTCTTGAACTCCTGACCTTGTGATCCACCCACATCGGCCTCCCGAAGTGCTGGGACTACAGGCGTGAGCCACTGTACCCAGCCTTTTTTTTTTTTTTGAGACAGAGTCTTGCCCTGTTGCCCAGGCTGGAGTGCAGTGGTGCAATCTCAGCTCACTGCAACCTCGTCTCCCAGATTCAAGGGATTCTTCTGCTTCAGCCTCTGAAGTAGCTGGGACTACAGGCATGCGCCACCACGCCCAGCCACTTTTTGTATTTTTAGTAGAGACAGGATTTCACCATGTTGGCCAGGCTAGTCTTGAACTCCTGACCTCCACCTGCCTTAGACTTCCAAAGTGCTGGGATTACAGGCATGAGCCATGGCTCCTGGCCCAAGGAAACTCTTTTTTCTTTTTTTTGAGATGGAGGCTCACTCTGTTGCCCAGGTTGGAGTACAGTGGCCCAGTCTCAGCTCACTGCAACCTCTGCCTCCCAGGTTCAAGCAATTCTGTGTCTCAGCCTCCCAAGCAGCTGGGATTACAGGTACCTGCCACCACACCTGTATTTTTTAGGCTAATTTTTGTATTTTTAGTAGAGATGAGGTTTCACTATCTTGGCTAGCCTGACCTTGTGATCCACCAGCCTTGGCCTCCCAAAGTGCTAGGATTACAGGTGTGAGCCACTGAGCCTGACCTAGAAAACTTTCTAATAGTCCAAGCTGCCCAGTGCTGGGTATCAAGCTTTCCAGGGCTGCGAGCTTCCTAACACCAGTGCTTTAAGCATGATTCTGATTATTTATATAAATAAAAGCTACACTATCTGAGGGCTAACTGTGCTAGGCACTGTGCTTAGCACATCACGTGCAACACAGCAACCCTATAAGGTAGGTCCTATTATAATTCCCATTATACAGATGGATAAACTGAGGTTTGGAGAAGGAATGTCAGTTTCCCACAGTCACACTGCTAGTGGGTGGTGGGGCCAGGATTGGAACTCTTCCCCAAAGTTCTTTGTGCTTCCAGGTCCCCCCAAAAAGAGAACTCTGAAGGGGGAGGAACCCTGGCTACCTGTCAGGGCAGTGGGCTTCACAGGTGTCCCTGAAGGCTGGGGGTATCCAGGGACCGCAGTCCGCAGATCTCGGGCCACTCTACTGCGCAAAGGGTGGGAAGGAGGCAGTCGCTCCAGCAGCTGCTCCAAGGCCAGCCGCAGGAGGTCCAGTTTCTGGGAGGACTCCTGGAGCTGGGTCTGAGCCTGCGGAGGGGACATAGGGAGAGCCAGGTCTGTGGGGTGTGTGGCAGGGGGCAGAAGCCCAGGCCACCCAGAGCCACCTTCCACATGAAGTCTCGACAGAAGGTGCCTTCTGCTTCTCCACGGCCACCCTCCCTTCACGCCCTTGCAGAGGGTGGCATATGGAACAAGCCAGCCTTAGGAGAGGACCAGGGCTGGGGCCTGACCTCAGCCAATGCCTTGCGGTCCTGTGTTCTCCGGCTACCGAGCAGTTTCACCACGTTCTTGGCACCCTCGGCCACAGCTGCCTCAACATGCAGTCGATGCTGTAGCTCGTCCGCCAGCAGCTCAGGCCCTGTGGGGAGGAGGGCAGCCCTCAGGCCCTGCTCTGCCCTGCTCTGCTCTCCCTGTCTCAAGGCCTTACCTGGCTCTGGGGACCCACTGGCCTCCAGGCTGCTGATCTTCATCCGAAGCAGGGCCACCTTCAGCTGGCTGTCTCGCAGCATCTGCTGGGCGGCTGCCAGGAGCTTCTTCTCCTATGGGGCCGTGAGACAAGCCCATCAGACCAGGCCTGGGCCACAGCCTCCCCCATCAGACCAGGTACTGGAGCTGGGTCTCCCCCATCAGAACAGGGTTAAAGTCAAGCCTCACTCAGTTGGCCAGACACCAGAGTCAAGCCTCCCTTGTTGGACTAGTTGGTGGGGTGGGGGAGCCTTTTCCATCAGACCAAGGGCTGGAGTCAAGCCTCCACTTTCAGATCAGTGCTGGGGTCATGCCTTCCCATCAGACCAGAGCTGAGGCTAAGCCTCACCCACCCAATCAGGGCTGCGGCTAAGCCTCCCACATCAGATCAGGGCAGGGGCTAAGCTAAGCTTCTCCCCTCAGATCAAGGCTAAGGTCATGCCTCCCTCATCATATCAGAGCCACAGCCCAGCCTTCTTGTCAGACAAGGACTGAGGCCCAGTTCCCCATCATGCTGGTAATTGGGACTGGGGCTGGGCTGGGATCCGTTAGACCAGGGCCAGGCCTTCTCTGTCACACTAGGGGCTACAGCCATGCCTTCCCTGCCCAGCTGGGGTTTGGGGCTATATTTTCCCCATCAGGCTGCAGGCTGGGACAATGTCTTCCTTAAGGGCTCAATGGCTGAGCTGCATTTCCCTATCAGAGAACAGACCAGAGTGCCCCTGCCATCAGACTGTAGGGCCTCACCTTGGGGGTGCCACTGGCGCATGTGTGGGTCATGTTCTCAGCTCCCTGCTTCACCTTCAGCTCCACCTGTAGCTGCCTCCGGAGGGCCTCCAGGTGTCGAGCCCTGAGCTGCTCTGCCCACGGCCGGGTTCCCGAGGCCACAGGCTCTGTGCACAGGGATATGGAGCATATGAGTCCCTCACCCAGAGCCGAGACCCACACTGTGGCCTCTCCTTCTTCCCCCACTGTTCTTATGAACAGGAAGTGAGGTGGTCTTGCCACAGCAGCCAGGGCCCAGGCTAGGGGCCAGGTGGGCCTGGAGCCTTCTGTCCTGAGCGGTCTCGGCTCCTCACTCACCAGCCAGGCCAGGCCCGGGGTCGGGCAGCAGGATTCTGGCGTGCAGCTCCCGCAGCTCGCCATGCAGCTGCTCCAGGCGGCGGTTGGAGGACCGCAGCAGCTGCTGCACATGGCCCAGGTGGCGGCGGTCTGTAGCCACGCGCCGCAGGTTCTCTACCCCCTCCTTGATCTTCAGCTCCTTCTGGATGGCCCGGCGGATCACCTCTTTCTCATCCTCCGGGGGCCACTGGCTTGGCCCAGGCTGCAGAGGGTGGAGAGCAGTCTTGGGGTGCCGCAGCCACCAGCAGCTTCTGCTCACTGCAGATGGAGGCGGAGGAAACGACGGCACCCAGGACTGACAACCACAGGGCTTGGGGAGCCTCTCTCCGCTTAGAGCTCAGGCCTTAGCCAGATGGAAACTCCCAGGCCACTCATTTAGGCCAGGCTCCTGTCCTCTGCCCAGTAGAGAAGGGTGGGGCTGGGAGGATTGTTCACACGGTAAACGGGTGCCAGGCTCTATTCTAAGAGCTTTGCATGTATTACCACATCACTCCTCCCAGCAACCCCACCTGGTAGCTGCGGTCATTATCCCCATTTTCTTTTTCTTTTTCTTTCTTTTTTTTTTTTTTTGAGACAGACTTTAACTCTTGTTGCCCAGGCTGGAGTGCAATGGGGCAATCGCAGCTCACCACAACCTCTGCCTTCCATGTTCCAGCGATTCTCCTGCCTCAGCCTCCCTAGTAGCTGGGATTACAGGTATGTGCCACCACTCCTGGCTAATTTTGTATTTTCAGTAGAGAAGGGGTTTCTCCATGTTGGCCAGCCTGGTCTTGAACTCCCGACCTGAGGTGATCTGCCTGCCCCAGCCTCCCAAAGTGCTGGGATTACAGGCATGAGCCACCATACCCGGCCTATTACCCCCCATTTTCTAGTGACGAAACTGAGGCCCAGAGAGGTGAAGTAACTGGGCCACAGTCAAGACATTGAGGAGAGGCCACCATCTCTTGGGCCCCAGCTGTCCCCGGCAGCCCTGGGTAATCAGGTTGCTTTCTCTTAAGTCTGGAATCTAAAGTAGAGTCCCAGGAAAGCTCAAGGCTGAGTAGGGGTTAAACAAAGCCACAAGGGAAAGCAGCCAGAGGCCTGGGAGTCCCGATGCTGCAGGCAGCAAAGTAGAGGCACAGCGAGGGGCTGGGGAGTCCTTGGATGCCCACTTCTCACTCAGCTCCTGTAAGTAGAGGCCCTCTCACTGCTTCACCCAGGCTGGAGTCAGGAACACCTCCTTTCCAGTCACCAGCATTTCAAAACGACCAGTGCCAAAGGTGACCTCAGGCCAGGGCAACCCAAGATACCCCCCAACAAGAGCTCTTGCAGGAACCCCATCTTACCTCTCTGTGTTCCATCTCCTGAGCCCAGTGGAAAGGGCCGAAACCCTAGACTCTGGGACCAGCCCCCCCACCCCAGACTTCATCGGGGCCTCCTGGCCCAACTGTCAGAGGGCAAGGGCGAGGTTCAGGAAATCCTCTGACCGCCCCAGGCCACAGGGCCAGAGCCAAAGGCCAGAGCAAACAAAGATCCCATGGAGCTGGGGGTCCGGCCACCGGGGTCCTGAGTCACCCAGCTGCCTGTAGGGCGGGGCCCCACAGGAAATCGGAAAATGTGTACAAGCTACCTCTGGAACAGGCGGAGGACCTCCAAAGGAAGGGGGTGGGAGGGGGCAGACCCAGCCCTGACGGCGGCCTAAGCGACTGGCTCAGACACTCAAGAGTCTATACGCACCCCCAAACACTCCGATGGTCCTGTCTGCCCTGGGTTAGAACTCTGACATGGAAACACACACCTCCTCCCTTCTGCTCTGTGAGGGGACCCGCTCCTGTCTGCAAATGTCCCCCTCCCCACCACTGTCTCCGGGACAGGACACCACCTCTCCTTCCTCAGTAGCAGACAGACACGGCGTCGGTCCTCCGGGCCCAAGCGCACCGACTGCCACCTCTGGCAGGAAACCTGGCCCCCTCTGCATTCTAGAACCCGCTGTGTACTCAAAGGTTCCCGCCCCGGCGCGGGGGAGGCCGCTCCCCTCTCGCCTCGTGTGCTCTAGGAGGGACTCCCGCCAGTGCCAAGCGTGCACACACTGCGCCCCGGGCTGCGTGCACATTCTAATCCCCCCAGGCTCGCGTGGCCCCCCTTCCTATCCCGGCTAATTCCCGTCGGCCTTGGAGCCCCATCAGGGAAAACCGACTTTAGGACAGCCTGGGGCCCACCCTGGTGGCTCACATGAGGACTCAGCCGTGCTCGCTCCTGGTCAGCCGGGGGCTGATTTGGAGACGCTGCAGGGCCCAGGAACGATGGAACCCGGGGCTCAGGTCGGCTCTGCGAGGGCGTCGCGGGGTCCGGGCAGGGGCAGAGGCAGAGGCAGGGATGGGGCGCGGGCGAGGGGCGGGGCGGGGGACGCGGCCGCGGTTTGGGGCGCCGGGGCGGTAACCCGGGCTTCCCGCACCCCCCGGCCACGCGCACTCCTCGCGCGCTGTTCACCTGCCGCGGCGCCCCCTCCTCCATGGCGCCGCTCCGGCCGCTCCGAGCCCTCCTCTCAGCCACTCCAGTCCCGGAAGCCGCGGCCCCTCCGCCAGGTCTTTCAAACTTGAAACTTCCCGGGAAGTGGCGCCGGAGACGCGGGATCGGGCGCCCCCTCCCGAGACCCGCTGGCCCGCCCGGACCCGGGGAACCAGCGCCGCCTCCCGTCAGCACCGGTCCAGCGCCCCGGACTCCACGCCCGAGGTCCCGCGCCCCAGCGGCTCCCTCTGATCCAACATTCCGCGGGATTCCGGCCATAGCACCCGGGCCTCGGCGGCCGCGGTTCCCGCTGTGCGTGACCGCGCCGCATGCCCAGAATGGACGTTCAGGCGGAGCATCGCCGGCGCCGAGGTCCTCCAGCCTTCCCCGCCGCGCGCCTGCAGGCTCCGGCCAGTTGGTGACCGGGGTGAGGGTGGGGGGAACAGCGCCCCCTGAGGCTAGCCGGGTCGCCCAGCCGGGTGCAGCAGTGGAGGGGGAGGCCTCCTCTAACTTTCAGCCCCTTCACGACCTCGACCAAGCCCCTCAAGTCTCTCTTTGTCTGGCAGGTTGTTGGTGTAATGTGGGCCAATCCAAAATTGTCTCTCTCCTCGGAGTGGTTGGCCCAAACTAGGTATTAGTCACTTCAAGAACGTATACTAGGCTGGGCACCTTGGCTCACGCCTATAATCCCCGCAGTTTGGCAGCCCGAGGCCGGCGGATCAGGTCAGGGGTTCGAGACCAGCCTGGCCAACATGGTGAAACCCCATCTCTACTAAAAATACAAAAATTAGTTGGGTGTGGTGGCGAGGCACACGACTGTAGTCCCAGCTACTCAAGAGGCTGAGGCAGGAAAATCACTTGAACTTGGGAGGCGGAGGTTGCAGTGCCCTGAGATCGAGACACTGCACTCCAGCCTGGGCAACAGATTCCGTCTAAAAAAAACAGAACTGGCCGGGCACGGTGGCTCAAGCCTGTAATCCCAGCACATTGGAAGGCCAAAGCAGGCAGATTACCTAAGGTCGGGAGTTCGAGACCAGCCTGACCAACATGGAGAAACCGCGCCTCTATTAAAAATACAAATTTAGTCAGGCATGGTGGTGCATGCCTGTAATCCCAACTACTCAAGAGGCTGAGGCAGGAGAATCACTTGAACTTGGGAGGTGGAGGTGGCTGATCGCACCATTGCACTCCAGCCTGGGCAACATGAACGAAACTCCATCTCAAAAAAAAAAAGAAAAAAAAGAACATACACTTGGGGAAAAAGCAAATCCTCACCCAAAATTATGATAAATTACAGATGAATGAACCGGACCTCTCTCAGGCCCATCTCTTAACCAGACTGTGGTTGCTGGTTCAGCCTAGTGCCATTTTTTAGGACTTTGCCCCTACAAAGGCCATCCATCCACACAGGAGAAAAGACATTTACATCTGGTGAAATATCAAATACCACTATCTGAGCCCGAGGGAGGTGTGCTGGTCATTGCCTAGTCTGTGCCGGGCCATTCAGCTGGTTCTAGCATCTTGCGTTTACTGGGGGGGGGGGAGGGGTTGTGCCAGGACTTCATGGAGGAGTGTCCTCCAAGAAGTGGGAAGGTGACTAAGGGTCAAATACTGACCCTGACTTGGAACAGTCAGGCTCTGATGCTCTTACTGAAGTAAGCCACATGTTTTGCTTTGCACTGATTACCTTCCTCACAATGGACTGGAAAACAAAAGTGAAATTGGAGAGCCATGGACAATGCTGGGTTGTCCTGCTATGGGAAATCAACCAAGTGGCATTGACATATAAGCAAAGACAACTTGGCTCTGTGAACAGGCCCAGATTTCATAATCAGGGGCAAAATGTGACATATGGGCAGCATAGTGCCCATAGTCTCTACAGAAATTAAGACCAGGTACAGTGGCAGATGGATCGCTTGAGCCTAGGAGTTCAAGACCAAACTGAGCAACACAGCAAAACCCCGTCCCTACAAAAAAATACAAAAATTAGTAGGGCATGGTAGTGGGCGCCTGTAGTCCCAGCTACTCGAGAGGGGGAGGCAAGAGGATCACCTGAGCCTGGGAGGTTGAGACTGTGATGAGCAGTGTCACAGCACTCCAGCCTGGATGATAGTGAGATCCTGCCTTAAAAAAAAAAATTAGCTGCCTAAGTTAATTTGGCCAGCTGGTGGGGCTGCCTGCAGTACCAGCAACTCAGGACGCTGGGGCAGGATGATCAGTTGAGCCCAGGAGTTTAGGTTACAGTGGCTATGATACTGCCACTATACTCCAGCCTGGGCAAGAGTGAGCCTTGCCAAAAATAACTAGACTGGATGAGGTGGGTCACACCTCATCCTAACACTTTCAGTGGCTTGATAGGAGAATAGCTTGAGCCCAGGAGTTTGAGACTAGCCTGGGCAATACAGTGACATCCCGTCTCAATTTAAAAAAATAAAGGACACTTGTAAGCCTTCATAAATACAGCCACATATTCAAAAGGGAATGGTCACTGATGGAATGGTATAAATTATTTATTCATTTTTAAACTTTTTTTTAAGACGAGGCTTCACCATATTGGTCAGGCTGGTCTCGAACTCCTGACCTCAGGTGATCTATCTGCCTCAGCCTCCCAAAGTGCTAGGACTACAGGCGTGAACCACCACACCGGCAACGTAATTTTTTTTAATCCACACTTGTGCCCAGCCAGGTGAAACTTTTCAAAATAAGATGTCCTCTTTAAACAATTTGAAGAGCTCTTCACTCTTCTCCCAAAGAACTTGTTTCAGTCTTCAGGAAATCCAGGCAGACTTCTCCCCTTGCAACAGAATTACATTTTCACCTTTTGCAAAACAATGTTATATTTTTGCAATAGTCAGAAAGCTTTCCTAATAAAATATTAAAAAAGACAAAAAAACCCTGGCTGGGCAGGTTGGCTCACACCCATAACCCAGCACTTTGGGAGGCCCAGGCAGGTGGGTCACCTGAGGGTCAGGAGCTGGAGACCAGCCTGGCCAACATGGCAAAACCCCATCTCAAAAAAGAGACAAAATAAAAAATAAAAATAAAAAAACAAAAAAAAAAAAAATACAAAAAAGAAATTGGCTGAGCATGGTGGTGTGTGCCTGTAATCCCAGCTACTCGTCAGGCTGAGGCAAGAGAATCCCTTGAATCTAGAAAGTGGAGGTTGCAATGAGTTGAGATCGCACCACTGCACTCCAGCCTGGGTGAGACTCAAAAAAAGAAAACGAAACCTGTGTTTCTGAGACCAAGTGAAAGCATTACGTAGTTACGAAGCAGTACTGATAGATTATCAAATGAATCCAGAAACACAACTGTTCCAGACAATTGACACCCAAAGGATCCCAAAAACCGTGTCAGTGAAAAACTCACATCCTTTTTGGGACTCAAGCAGCTAATGCAAGTGGAACAAGCAGGTCGGGTGTAAAGCAAATTTCTCAGCCACACACATCTGGGTATTCTATGGGCTACTTACACTTAACATTCCAGAAGCCAGAGTTCAGTGCAAATTTGTAAGGGCATTACAGAGGTCAGAGAATCCAGATAAAGTGAGTCTTTTTGAAATCACTAAAGAGAGGCTGGGCATGGTGACTCATACTTGTAATCTCAGCCCTTTGAGAGGCCGGAAGTGGGCAAATCACTTGAGGTCAGGAGTTCAAGACCAGCCTGGGCAACATAGTGAAACCCAATCTCTACTAAAATACAAAAATAGCAGAGTATGGTGATGTGTGCCTGTAATCCCAGCTACTTAGGAAGCTGAGGCAGGAGAATGGCTTGAACTTGACAAGTGAGGTTGCAAGGAGCTGAGATCATGCCACTGCACTCCAGTCTGGGGGACAGAGTGAGACCTCTGTCTCAAAAATAATGAAATCATTGGAGAAACAACCCCAGGCTGGGCATGGTGGCTTACCCCTGTAACCCCAGCACTTGGGAGGCCAAGGCGGGTGTTTTCGCGAGGTCAGATGAGACCATCCTAAGTAACATAGTGAAACCTGGTCTCTCCTAAAATACAAAAAATTAGCCAGGCGTGGTGGCACACACCTGCAGTTCCAGCTACTCTAGAGGCTGAGGCAGGGGATCACTTGAACCCAGGAAGCAGAGATTGCAGTGAGCCAAGACAGCACCACTGCACTCCAGCCTGGCAACAGAGGGAGACTATGACTCAAAACCAAAAACCCAGAAATGGGGTCTGAAGCAGAATCTTAAGGTTTTGAAACTCAACGTAAGGACACCTTGCAAGCTACTGCCCTCCATCCTAATTCATGCAGTTATTTTTTTTTTCATGCAGTTATTAAATACCCCTCATTAGCCAAAGAAAGCACAGCTTGGGAAGAACACAGCCCCTTCCTAAATAACCAACATTACTCTTCTGTTTTGTTTTAAAGAACAGGGTGTTCTTGCTCTGTGGCCCAGGCTGAGGGACGGTGGCAAAATCATCTCTCAGTGAAGCCTCAATGTCCTCGACTGAGGCAATCCTCCTGCTGCCCCAGCAACCCAAGTAGCTAGGATTAGCCTAGTGCCACTACATAGAGCTTTTTTTTTATTTTTTTTTTGGTAGTAATAGGATGTGCCTATGTCATCCAGGCTGGTCTAGAGCTCCTGGTCTTTGGCGATCCTTCAGCCTGGGCCTCCTAAAGAGCTGTGATTACAGGCATGAGCCACTGTGCCCAGCCTCTCTTATCAAATGTCCTTGAGAAAAGGAGCTGAGCCCTTTCCAATACACACTAAGGACCAGCCAAAGAACTCCTCTTGCAATTAAACACAAGGCATGCCGGCTACAGTGTAGAAATTTTTCGCTACACTAAGGTTGCCATTTTGCTTTCTCACAGCCTAGTTCTAAGATTTGCAGATGTTAGGGGCACCTTGGGAGATCACAATAGAGAGTGAACTATTAAAGGGCTCCCAACTTTTAAATTCCCCAAAATAAAGGAACATTGTGACCTATAACTTGACAGCCCTAGAATCTTGCCAGCATGTAAAACCACTAGTCGTGGTTGTTTCACTGTTCTATTTGTGAAAAAGTATCCCAGGCTTAAGTGGATATTGATTCAAATGACTACAGTGGCCCCATTTATCCAAAGAAGATACATTCTAAGAGACCCCAGTGGCTGCCTGAAGCCACAGCAAGAGTACCAAGCTCCATACAATTTTTCCTATACATACCAGTAACTTAATTTCCAAATTAAGCACATTAAGAGATTATCAGTACAGAACAATTTTGCCAATTATTATATACCTATATACTATATTCACACGTGTAAATGTATAGTGTATGTGAACAGTCTCAAAATATCTGAACTGCAGCTGACCCCGTGGAGCTGAAGCTGCAGATAACAGAATCCACTGAACTCAAATTTTGTTTCTAGTGTAGTCCTTCTGAAATTTGAAAATGAAAATGCTATACTCAACCTCTCCAACTGTTTACTATATTCCAAATAAGAGACATTTGAATTTGTCCTTTACTTCTCCGCTGACCAGCTTCCAGCTTTCTAAACCGACACTACACCATTAGAGCTAACCCCCGCTGCCCCAGTCCCTAAAAATGTGAAGACAAAAAACTAGCACATTTTCTAAATCCAATAGCAATTAACATTTCTCTATAACACAAGGAGAATGACCCCAGTCCAAAAAAAATCTTTATGTTCCTTTATTGGAGCAAGATTCCTGATCGGTATACAGTGAAGTATTTACTAAACAGAGACCTGTGCGGAAATTACATACTATCCATCTAGACAGGTTGTTACACTTTTGCCTATTGATGGAATAGTTCCATTTATCAAGTTTTATACATCAAAAAGCTTTTGAATTTCACCAGACTGTCCATTAATTCACCTCTGAAAAAGTGGCATTTAATTTCAGCTACTATATTTTACAGCATTAAAAAGCTTATGCATTAGGGTGCTTCTCTGCACAATGGCATTGAGCAGACAGAGCTGAGTCCATTATTCCACCCAGATTCACATAATCACATTTGAGAACTTTATACCAGAGAGCTGGGACAGTTACCGCCAACCATCGCAGACTCCTACTCTGAGAGCCTATCTCCTTGGCCACATTTTATATAGCCAATGAAGACATGCCAGTAACTGTCCCACACACATATAACTTGGCATGAGAGCACCAGGTCTGTTGGATGGTGGTGGCAGGTACTATTATTTTATATCCAGGTAAATGGCCAATTTTAAAAACTGCCACTTGGAGATATAAATCAAGGGCACAATATACTCAAAGTATTGAGCAATCTGGTATCCCAAATGATGTGAGTACTTTCAGAAACCAATGGCAAATTGTACCCACTTTCCCAGCTATGGCGGTATCAATACATTAATTCAGATCCCGTTACTCAATCCACATAGCCCTGAGGTCATCCTGCAAAGTGCGTATCAAAAAATACGAAGTTAGGGTGACAAAGTTTGACAGTGATGTTGTACAAGTCAAACTTGGAAGGTCATAGTGAGCAGACCTGTGCTGAGAGAAGAGCATCAAATCCTTTGTGTACACATTTAGTTTTATTGTAACAAAGCAACTTGTACACTTTTAACGTTTAAAACTGAGCATCATCTTTCCTTTCCAGTGAAACAAAAAGAAAATTTAAAAATAAACAGAAACAAAATTACAATAGAGAATGTCAATTCCAAATAAGATCCTACAGGTTCTGCTGATTCTCCCATTGAGTGGCAGGGCTCAAGTCATCATTAGGAGAGAATTTATTTTAAAAGTGTCATCTTAAACTGCAAGGATGTCTGTCAAATGTCACAATTAAACATGCCAAAGGAGAAGCCATGTTGTCAAAATGCCCACTTACCCCACCCAAACATCTCAAACCCACCCTTTGCTGACCTTCTATAACCCCATTTTTTTAAGTTTTTTTTTTCTTTTTTTTAAACAAGAGAAAGTAGACAGATACATGTTGGTAAATGCTAACTGTCCATATTCACATAGAGACACAGTGTACTCTCTGAGCCCAATATACAGAGAAAGGAGGAAAAAAGCTAGAATTCTATGCACTACTACACAGGGGCCTAGCACCCTCCAGCTTCCAGCAGAGCGAAGGGAGCAGGTTTTTCTTTTTTCCCACAGAGCTCGGTGGTATTGATTCCATACAGTTTTTGTTAAGACAGGAAGGGATAAAAATGAATTTCAAACAGAAAGGGGTAGAGACTCTTTTCCCATTGTATCCTGCTCAAGATATTTCCCCCCAAAATAAGTTGAGAACCATGGTGTAGAGAAAAGAGACCTCAAAAACAGGGTGACTGCCCACAAGCGGGAAGGAAAAAAAAAAAAAAAAAAAAAAGACTGCAACTTGCTCCCAGGGACTGGAGAAAATTTAAAAAAAGGAAGGTTGGAATCCATCAGTGTTCTATTAGTCATCTTCTCCTTCATCCTCCTGAAAGAAAAAGTGGGCAGTTAATCTTCAGGATTAACGCTGAGACTACTCGTTCGCTTTCACATGGACCACACTGGACCCCAAAGAACATATGCTTTGGGAGCCCTTCATTTTCTAAACCTGAAAGTCAGCTGCATCGGTTCGACTGAAAGGCCCGCGATGTTTCTTCAGATAAATGAATAACTTTTCAGTTCTAACCAAATCAGGCACATTTCAGATCAAATAATCCAAAATAAAATCAACCTATTCTAATTTGACTATTTGGCAATTTTGCAGTTTATCTAAAATATGTGGAGTTTTGTTATTTCAGCAATGTCAGAATTTGACCAGCTACACTACCTACATTGCATTGCTTAAGTATTGGCTAGGGAAAAACAAGCTTGGGTGGTAAGACTAACAGGGGGCGGGGGGAGAGACTAGTTATTTAAACATTAGTAGCATGAGCTTATCCAGCATTTCCTTAATTCATGAACAACAAAAAATGGCTCATTTTTTTCCCACAATCAGTTCTGGTCAGTTTCATCACACAGTAAAAAATATATATATATATGATATATATAAATATATGTATCTCCCCCAAAACAATATGGTGAATTCTTTAAAAGTTATCAATTTTCCTTTACCTCTCCTTCCTCCCCTTCATCATCATCTTCATCTTCTTCACCTTCATCCTCATCCCCTTCTTCATCAATGTCTTCTAATCCTTCCTCCTCTTCATCATCATCATCATCTTCTTCTCCTTCTCCTTCTTCATCATCCATATCAGGAACCTTAAAAAAAACCCAAGTTGACTTAAGGACTCATTTTTAAACAAATGAGACAAATACAACCTTGAATAAATGAATTATTTCAACTTACCAAGTAGTATTGTAATGGGTTTGGCCAAATATCATCTTTGATGACCTCTCCTAATTCATCAGCACCTGCATCAGAATGGTCAGTAAACCAGGTAAAGAAGCTCTCTGGTTCCTCATGCTGCCTCTTCCTGCTGGCTTTATTCTGCGTTTGACTTGAACGTTTCGTCAAATCCTAAATGAATACAGGAAGAGCTTTTGATACAGTCTCTTAAATCACCCAAACTCCCAATAATTTAAAAAATAAGATTTTCCCCAAAAGTGAAGCAAAACAAACATCTATATAATACCTACACTATTACCTAAGAGCAATTATAAAATTATACTAAATAACAATTGTATAAAATTAATTGTACTAAATCAACTAAATTTTATTTTCCATAAAATTAGTTCCATTTTATCAGCCACTAGCACAAAACATTATAAATATTTAAATTATGTCTTACTACCTAAATACAGATGTAAATGAATTTTGAGAAATGGTAAGCTGGCCGGTGGCTCACGCCTGTAATCCAAGCACTTTGGAGGCCATGGCTGGTGGATCACCTGAGGTCGGGAGTTCAAGACCAGCCTGACCAACATGGTGAAACCCCGTCTTTAAAAAAAAAAAAAAAAAAAAAAAAAAAAAAGATAAATAGTAAGCTATTTGAAGACCTCAGTCACCATTGCAGAAAACAAAAAAATTTAGTCCAGTTCTCAATTCTTAAAACTTGGGCTAGATTTTCTCTTTTTTTTTGGGGGGGGGGGTCAAGGGGAGGGTCTATGTGGCCTAGGCTGAACTCCTAGGCTCAAGAGATCTTCCAGCCCACAGCTGTAAGCTCTAATGAGAACTCTAACCTATTGTTATATTTGGCATTAGCAGACTGGAATGTTTTATATTTTAAGGTTTTGCATTTAGCCACATGACCAAACTATCAAGCACTTGTAAGTGGTTTAAATTAAACCAAAATAGGTGAAATGATTGTTTTATGGTCAATATTTCCTCAAATCATACCTTTCCAGATTTCCATTTAATTTCAGTGGACTTTGAAGATGGATCACCACTCTCATTCAGATGAAATTCTTTGGAGAGAACTTTATTTTCAAAGTAAGGATTTTCATCAAAATACTGTAACAAATGATTAGAATATTTAGACATACAAACAGCTCTTCCAACCAAAGCTCACATTAATTTCCAGACTGGCAAATAAGATTAAGTTAGAGATACTTACAAAATCTATTCTGTAACCTGATTTAATATCTTCAAATTCTGTCACTTCAACTCTGGTCAAATAATGCAGTGCCTCTTCGTCCTCCTCCCCAAGCAGTGCAGACACTAAGGCCAGAAAATTATAGGTCAGCTGAATTTTCAAAAGGCAAACATTAACAACAATTTAAGGGCTTCCTTTAAAATTTTTCCAAACTTAGTGAGCATCTTTATTTTTATAAACCCATTATTAACTAAAGGCAATTGCTCCACGCCAGATTGTCACTATCTTTCATCAAGCAATTAGAACATAGCTTCTCCTGAACAGAAGAGAAAGCAATAACTGCCAAGTCTTTTCCCATCTTTGAGGGTTTCAACCTGCACACAACCCAGCATGTTGAACTAAGCCTTCACCAAGCTTCCTCCATTCTAACAAACACTATTTATCCTTTAACAATGCACTGTACAAAACATACCTTGTGGATGGTTGACAAATGTTGTTACCCAAAAATTTGGGATTTTGGCGATCAATTCTGACCTCTTCTGAAAAAATGGTTGGCGGAGTTTGTTATATTTCTGTTCTACTTTCAAAATCTCCTCACTGGCTTGTTCATTAAGTCTGAAGCAAATGAAAAGAGATACTGACTATGATAGTAGTTAACAAACTAAAAAATTGGCTGAGATTACTGTTTACTTACTAGCTTCGGAACTGTGCAAGGTACCAAATTATAATAACCATTATTACCTAGTTTAGACACTCAAGTCAAAACTAAAGTGGCAATTTTGTCTATTTATCAACAAACACTCAATAATGACTGTTAAGAATGCCCAAACAACATTCTGGTAACATTGTGCATTTACTTCACCTATTATTTCCAAGCCAATTTCAACTGTTTCCCTCAAGCATAATTTCTAATTAAACTGGCTAATTCAGTAACAAAGTGGCTAATTCCGTGACAAAGTTGTAAGGCAAGCTAAAGCAATCGCTGATGCCACATTACTGAACTACCAGAAGACCCACATTGCAATTCAGACAATTTTTAGACTTTGAAAGCAAAACCCAAACCTTACCGAGTTAAGGTACTTTCAAAAACTTTGTACAAATACTTTACCAAAAAAACACTGAATCTACATAATGTTTCCAACCAAGTTAGAATCACTTCCCCTTTGACAGGGGATAGATCTGACCATAGTTTCAATGATTACTGGGCCATCAGACATAATCTCAGAAAATTTGGTCTCCAAAGTATTTTAATAAAATTATTACCTGTCTATTTCATTTTGTACTTCATCAATGTGTTCAATTGCTTCTTGCTGTTCTTTTTCTGCAAAAAAGGAGCAAAAAAACTTAATTCTAATTAGAAGACAAATTTACCTAGTTTTCCACATGTTAATACTCTAATATTCCAAAAGCCATTTGAAAAAAAAAGCCTACTACAAAGGTAAGTGTTACACATGTTCATGCTTGTGACTGACAAATTTTTTAATTAAAGACCATTCACACGTCATGCTGTCTGCTGGATTACTCAGAAATTGGTTTTCTATAGTGTCATTTTAAAGTTTCCCTACAACAAACCGATCGTTAAGGTTTCTACTATGAAAGATACAGAATAACCTTATTCGGAAGTCTTCACGTTTATAATTTCACATTATACAGTTGCAAGAGAACAGTAGCAGCTGCTAACTAAAATACGGAAACGAAGCCCACGACAATGATACAAATTAGGCCATTACTACCACCTATCAATGGTAAAACCATCTTTCACAGAAAGTTGACGATTTTGCTATTACAATAAAGGCAAAAGACACGCCTACAAAGACACGAAAGGCACCGGGCACCATTCTACACACTGGCCTTCGCCTTCTCAGAATATGAATCCCTCCAACCCAATTCAGGCAGGCAGACCTCAGATGCGGCCCCACACGACTTTGGAGCACTTACTGGGAGCAACTGTGAGGTCAGAAAATCGTGAGGCACAGAAGGGAGAGGAGGAAAAGGGGGTGTGCTCTGGAATACGTGCCCTTTTGTCCCGTAAAGACTGCAAATCCTACAAAGCTAAGTGGGTGTGAAGGGGGCAGATCGCGCGGTTCATTTCCGGTAACCATCCCGGGATTGGCAGCCCCCCTGCCGAGAGAGTCTCCTCGGCAGAAACCAGCTTTCTTAGCCATTTCCAAGACCCCCGATCCACTAGCCGCGGCGCCAGGCTTCTCCGCACGCTGGCGCGACGGGGCGGCCACCCCACGTGGGGAATGCGCCCGGGCCGGCCAGAGCATCTTCCCAGCCGGCCAAGGCCCAGCGCGCGGCCGGCCGCGTGCTCCCCGCGCCCCCACCCCGCCCCAGCTCCAGGCAGAAACACCGCCGGGACCGGCCTCCGGGCGGGGGTTCTGGGGGTGCCGCCGCGGACCAGGCGCGTACGGGAACCGCGCGGGAGGTCGGGCGCGGGGCCGCGTCCGGCCGCACCATGTGGCGGCGGCGGCGGCTGATGGGAGCGAGGCATCATGGCGGAGCACAATAAAGAGAGGCTTCTCGGGAGGGAGGGAGGGGGAGGAGAGCGAGGGAGGGGGGAGAGGAAGGGGGGGTCTCCTCCGCCCGCGCCTCGCAGGCCGCAGCGCCCCCGCCTCGCAGAGCCGGCAGCCGCTGCGGCGCCACCCAGGCCCCCCAGCCCCGCCGCGCACAAAAAAGGGCGCCGAGCTCAAGGGCCCCCGCCCGGCCGCGCCGCGCACCACTCCCCCGCCAGGCGCCCCCTGCGCGCTCCCCGGGCCCCGCCGGCGGCCTCCGGGCCGGGGCGGGCGGCGAAGATGGCGGCGCGGGCCGGCCCCCGGGCTCCCTGCTCTCACCTGAGGTCTCGTCGGCCCCGTCGTGGTTGGAGTTGAGCTCCTTTTTACTGACTTTGGCCGCCGGCGCCGACATGGTGCTGCTCCGCGGTCGGGGGGGAGCGGGGAGGGGGAGAGAAGGGAAGGCGAAGGGGGCGGGCAGGCGGCTTCCCCTCACGCCACACGCGCGGGCGCCCGCTCGGTCCGGCCGCCTCCTCCCGGCGCTCGCTCACTGTCCCTCCCCCTCGCTTGCTCGCTCGCGCGCGCAGCCCTCGCGGCCTGACACCGAGGGACGGGCTGGTGCGGCGTGCCGGGCCGCGGCCCGGGCTCCTGCTCGCGGAGGGGAGGCGGAGGCGGCGGCGGTAGCGGGCGGCGGGCGGCTCGGCTCTCACTCGCGCTCGGCGCTCCAGCCAGCTCGCTGCTCGCTCTCCCGAGCCGCCTCCTCCTCCACCTCCTCCTACGGCGAGGGGCGGGCGCAGGGCGCAGGCGCGCCAGGCCCCGCTTGGACGCTCCGCCTCCGGCTGGGGAGGCTCGCGCCGCGGCGCCATTGGGCCGGGCGGCGGGACCAGGGGGCGGAGCCGCGGCGCAGAGACACAGGGCCCGGCGAGAGGCGGGAGGAAGGCGCGCGGCGACGCACGGCCGCCCCCCGCGCAGCGTCCCCTCCCCCGCTCTCCCCTCTCCGGCCCGACCCGGGACACAGGCGCGCGGCGGGCCGGGGGGCGGGGCCTCGCACGGAGGCGCGGGTGCCCCCAGCTGGCGCGTCACGTGATTCAGGAGCAGCTTCCCTTCTCGACGGGGTGCCGAGAGCTGGGCGTCCGCTACACCGAAAGTGTAGGCCGGGCCTCACGTGGGGGCCCCGAACTCCACCCGGCCTTTCTGCGCCTTCCTCTTCGTGGAGAAGGCAGGGGGCACCTCCATCCTGGATGGCAGATGGGGAACCTGCCGGTCGGACTCAAACTCGGGCTCGTGTGCGAAGCCCCAGGCTGTGTAGTCCGCACGCGGAGCCATTCCTGGATTTTAGTCCAAGCCCTGCCCCGCAGGCTTGTACCCTTGAGCAAGTCACCCATCCTCTCTGGACCCGTTTCTGTTATGAAATGATATACGTTGCGACACTGAAGCTGGGCCACACTAAACTCGAAGTCCTGTGAAGGCAGGAGATACCATATTAGTCCGCGGTGCCCAGCGCTTGCAAGAACCATATTGAGCGCTAAGTGCCAGTTTCAGCAGTACTTGGCACGGTAATTTCACCGAGGCCCCACAGCAGCCCCATGCGATATGCAGTGTTCTGTTCCCAGAGATGAAAGGGGCCAACAAGGTCTAAGAGGAGGGCCAAAACATTTAGTTTAAATAATACTTTTCGGGCCGGGCGCGGTGGCTCACGCCTATAATCCCAGCACTTTGGGAGGCCGAGGCAGGTGGATCACGAGGTCAAGAGGTTGAGACCATCCTGGTCAACAAGGTGAAACCCCGTCTCTACTAAAAATACAAAAATTAGCTGGGCATGGTGGTGCGCGCCTGTAGTCCCAGCTACTCGGGAGGCTGAGTGAGGCAGGAGAATTGCTTGAACCCAGGAGGCGGAGGTTGCGGTGAACCGAGATCGTGCCATTGCACTTCAGTCTGGGTAACAACAGCGAAACTCCTTTTCAAAAATACTTTTCAAGTAATGCGGATGCCTCAGGCTCTGTCCCTCCAGCGCCCCCAAGACATGAAACCATAAAAGCCTGAAAAACCCTGATTAGTAGCATTTTGTTTTGTTTTGTTTTTGAGACAGAGTTTCGCTCTTGTTGCCCAGGCTGGAGTGCAATGGGGTGATCATGGCTCACAGCAACCTCCGCCTCCCAAGTAGCTGGGATTACAGCGGCCTGCCACCACGCCTGGCTAGTTTTTGTATTTTTAGTAGAAAATGAGGTTTCACCACCTGACTTCAGGTGATCCGCCCACCTTGGCCTCCCAAAGTGTTAGGATTACAGGCGTCAAAACCTGGCTGGGCGTGCAGTGCTGGCTCATGCCTGTTATCCCAACACTGAGAGGTCAAGGCAGGAGGATGGCTTGAGCCCAGGAGTTCCAGGCTGCAGCGAACCCTATGGCAGCCACTGCACTGAAGCCTGGGTCGACAGAGCAATCCTGTCTCTAAAACAAAAAACAAAAAAACCTGAAATCTCTCTCTAGACATTTGTAACCAGAACTTGGGGTTGGAATTCTGTCTTCCAGAACTCACACTTTACTATCGGCTCTTTTTTTGAGACCAAGTCTCAGTCTGTCTTCCAGGTTAGAGTGCAGAGGCGCGATCTTGGCTCACTGCAACTTCCGCCTCCCGGATTCAAGTGATTTCCTGCCTCAGCCTCCTAAATTGCTAGATTACAGATGTGCATCGCCAAGCCCTGCTAATTTTTTTTTTTTGAGACCGAGTTTCACTCTTGTTACCCAGACTGGAGTGCAATGGTGCGATCTTGGCTCAGCGCAACCTCAGCCTCCTGGGTTCAGGCAATTCTCCTGCCTCAGCCTCCTGAGTAGCTGAGACTACAGGCATGCACCACCATGCCCAGCTAATTTTTGTATTTTTAGTAGAGACGGGGTTTCACCTTGTTGACCAGGATAGTCTCGATCTCTTGACCTAGTGATTCACCAGCCTCAGCCTCCCAAAGTGCTGGGATTATAGGCATGAGCCACCGTGCTCGGCCTAGGCCCGGCTAATTTGTGTATTTTCAGTAGAGACAGGTTTTCCACCATGTTGGCCAGGTGGGTCTCAAACTGCTGACCTCAAGTGATCTGCCTGCCTCTGCCTCTGAAAGTGCTGGGATTACAGGCAGGAGCCACTGTGCCCACCCCACTATCAGCTTCTAAAGCTCAAGCAGCATCTTTTATGTTCAAGACAGTGCATTGGTAAGTGACTAATAAATGTTAAAAAAAAAAAAATGGCACATGGTCCATGCGAGAGAATACAAATGCCTTGGAACTTTCCTCAAAATCGAGAAATTCATCTAATCCCTCCTCCAAACGTTATTCTCAATTGACTCCAGCTCAATCAATTAATATCTATCACAATTGAACATTTTTTTTGAAACGAAGTCTCTGTCATCCAGGTTGGTGTGCAGTGATGTGATCTCGGCTCACTTACAACAAAATACAAGGTAGGTTTTAATATTCTCATATGATAAACTAAAGTTTTTTTTTAGAAGGAATCTCGGGGCCGGGCACGGTGGCTCAAGCCTGTAATCTCAGCACTTTGTGAGGCCAAGGCGGGTGGATCACAAGGTCAAGAGATCGAGACCATCCTGGTCAACATGGTGAAACCCCGTCTCTACTAAAATTACAAAAAATTAGCTGGACATGGTGGCGCGTGCCTGTAATCCCAGCTACTCTGGAGGCTGAGGCAGGAGAATTGCCTGAACCCAGGGGGTGGAGGTTGCAGTGAGCCGAGATCACACCACTGCACTCCAGCCTGGGTAACAAGAGCGAAACTCCGTCTCAAAAAAAAAAAAAAAAAAAAAGAAGGAATCTCGAACTGTCGCCCAGGCTGTAGTGCAGTGGCTTGACGTCGGCTCCCTGCAATCTCCGCCTCCTGGGTTGAAACAATTCTCCTGCCTCAGCCTCCTGAGTAGCTGGAATTACAAGCACGCGCCACCATGCCCTGCTAAGTTTTTGTATTTTTAGTAGAGACGGGGTTTTACCATGTTGACCAGCATGGTCTCGATCTCTTGACCTCGTGATCCACCCACCTCGGCCTCCCAAGTGCTGGGATTACAGGCGTGAGCCACTGCACCAGGCCAAAAAATTTATTTTTATTTACTTATTTTTTGAGACAGAGTCTCCCTCTGTAGCCCAGGCTGGAGTGCAGTGGTGCAACCACGGCTCACTGCAGCCTTGACCTCCTGGGCTCTGGGGATCCTCCCACCTTAGCCTTCTGAGTAGCGGGGACCACAGGCCAAGTGCCACTGCCACCCTGCCTGGCTAATTTTTATTTTATTTTATCTTTGTAGAGACCAAGTCTCACCATGTTGCCCAGGCTGGTCTCAGATTCCTGGGCTCAAGCCATACTTCAGCCTCAGCCTCCCAGAGGTCTGGGATTATAAGAATGAGCCACCACACCCCGCCTCAATTTTAATGTGACCAACAGTCAGTAGTACTTTTGACATCATGACCTAGCACACACAAACCAAAACTTACCCTTACCAAGGGTGATGTGACTCTAATTTCCTAATTAAAATGCAGGTCAACCCCCCAGCAAGCTGATTTCAGGACCCACTCCTCCTGGGATGAATCTGTCTGAGAACACTGTGCCAAGAGCTGCTGCTTCCATCCTCAAAGCCTGACCCACAGTGTCACTCCTGACCCACAGTGTATCGTAAGTGCCTGATCTGTTTCTCAATCACCTGCAGGGATCCCAGGGAACCCTTAATGCCTTCTGACGGGTGAGTGGGCTTGCAGGCTCCCTTTCTAGCCTTCCGGCCCTCCCCACCACCTCTCTGCCCCTCCTTTCCTGCCCTTCCCCACACAGTGCTTTTCAAGATAAATGTGAGGAACACACTAGGAAGTTGAAGAGAAAGAGAAAGCAAAAGGCCCACGGGTGGCAGTAAACAGGGGCAAGCAGTGGCCACACTAAGAGGTTTATTCACCCACTGTTGGGACTCTGCTCTCTCCGTCTCCAACAGCCAGTAGCTCCGCATTCTCTCCTTAGCCTCTCCCCTCACTCATAATTCCTCTCTCTCCTCTCTCCTTCCCTTCCTGGCCCTTTGTTGTTTTGTGCCCCCACCCCATCCTCTTGTCACCCAGGCTGGAATGCAATGGCACGGTCTCGGCTCAGTGCAACCTCCCACTCTGGAGTTCAAGCAACTCTTCTGTCTTAGCCTCCCAAGTAGCTGGGATTACAGGCGTGCACCACCGCAGCAGGCTAACTGTATTTTTAGTAGAGATGGGGTTTAGCCATGTTTGCTAGGCTGATCGCAAACTCCTGACCTCAGGTAATCTGCCTACCTTGGCCTCCCAAAGTACTGGGATTACAGGCATGAGCCACCGCACCTGTCCCTGGCTCCCTTTTAAGAGGAGAGAACCCCACCGCCAGAAAGACTGGAAGAGAGAGTGGCTGGAACTCCCCCAGTGCTACAGCATCCCAAGTGCAGACCAGAAAAAATCTCCAGGGCCTGGAACATTCCCCCCTCACAAACACACACACACACACACACACACACACACATATCCCTTTGAGCCTCCTTGTTCTGATCTGTAAAATTGGGTTGTCCACAGCACACAGCTGTCGGGATAGAGAAGTACTTGGAACAGCTCCTGGCAGGCCATCAGTGCCTAGTAAGCAGCAAGAGCTGAGATTTGGGTTTAGGTGAACCCCCTCACACCTTTCCATCCCTTCCAGTCCTGTTAATGCTCCCAGCAAGGAGATCAGAGGCACTCACCCACAAATGCACTCTAGAGCACTGATGATGTGCTAGGCACTGTCTAGTGCTTCCCTTGGATTTCAGCCTCAGCAATAGTGGGGGTTGGTACTGTGGATCCCATTTTACAGAAGAGAAAACAAGCACAGGCTGTTTTATGTAACTCACCCAGCAACGCAGGTTTCAAGCTGGGCAGGAGGTCTCTGCATCCCATGTGGAAGCCAAGGGACTGAGACCCAGTAAAGTGCCAACAGGTCCACACTGAGCACTAAGGTAGGACTCTTTGTCAGTGCTCCTTCCATCATAAGAGTCAACCGTCCTCAGCCAATCAAAGCTTCCCGCTTGCTCGCAGGCCTCGGCCCTATCCACACCCAGCCCCGGAAGGCTCCACCACAACCCTCCCTCTTAGAGCCAGACCTAATCACCACAACAGTCAACTCTGTATCCAGCTCCAGCTACGTGTCCCGAAATGCCGCACTCACCTCTAGGTTTAACGGGGGAAGGGCAGGCACAAGACTGATGGTTACAATTTAATGACACAAGGGTGGGGCAGCCTGACTCTGGGACTGCTAATGCCCAGATGCTGGGGCTCACAGAAGAATAACCGCAGGAAGTGACTTTCCAGCCCAGAGCTGGAGGCGGTGCACAGGTAAGGAGACGAAAGGGCAAATGAGCGCCTGGGCCCTGAGGTCAAAGGGTATATAGTCCCAGAGCTCAGGGCGAAGAGTTGAGGGAGACCTCCAGGTGTGGAGTCTCAGGAGCATGAACCGGGAGAGGTCGGCCAGGACTGGGTGGGCGGGCCCCAGAAGTTTCTGAGTACCTGGCGGACTTGGGGAGGCAAGGGAGGGGTTTAAGCTGGGGAATGGGCCACGTGATTGGCTACGCTCAGGCTGAAGGGGAGGAGGAGGAAGCTGGAAGCCAAGATGAGGAGGTGGCAGAGATTCAGGCCAGAGTTGTGGGCCGCTGTCGGCAGCAAGAACAGAGAGGTGGACAAATTTGAGAGGTATTGAGGTAGAACCGCCAGGAATCAGGGATTTGGCTGGATGTGGAGGGGTGAAGGAGGGCCCTCAGTCTGGCTGCTAAGACCGCTTGCCAAGAAAGGGAGCCCCAGAGGAAGGAGTTTGGGGACTGGGGAAACAAGCTAGGGGTTAGTGTTGAGTTGGGGGCAGGGATAAGTTCCGTGTACTCCTTCTCCCAGTCTAGTCCCTTCTGGTTCTTTCTTCACGCAAACTTAATCCATCATCCCAGGCTTAAAACCCTTCGGGGGAGGTTAGGGGGCACATCTCAAGAGGGCTTGGGGGGAAAAAAATCAGAGTCAATCCTTGCAAATCCCTTAAATCTCCAATAAAACTCAGCACAGAAACCTACCTCCCTTCTTCGGCAAGCCTGCAGAGGCCGATGTCTCATCCAGTCCCTGAGCAGGAGGTGGTCTTAGTTTCTTCTTTTGAGGCGGGAGTGGAGACTGGCGTTTGGGGGCCATGCTGCTGGGGAAGTCCGAGAACCGGAGCACAAGTCTTCTTGCTCGTCCGGAAGCAGGCAGAACACTGACACAGCCCTAGGTGCCAGCGGTTTAAATCTGCCTGGAGCCGCCCTGCCTTGAAGGGATATTTACATGACAGTGGGACACACACCCCAGCCCCCTCCCCTAGCCTCATCCCACCCACCCTCCAATCAGGAGAAATTTCTTTTAGTTGCTCTTTGCCTCGCTCTGCAGGGGCACTCATGGCTTTGGGGGAGGGGGCAAGTTCTTCCTTGAGAGCAGTTCTGTGCTTTCTAGACCTCCTGGTTTCATGTGAAACCCCTGCCTATCCCCCAGTTCGTTCCCGAACCCCCAGGTAGGCAGGCCTGCCCCACTGAGAACTTCTCATCTTTTCTTTTTTTTTTCTCTTGGACTCCAGAAGATTTAACACGTGCCGTTGCCTCACCTAAGCTTGGAACATTCCTCAGTAAACCACACCCCCACCGTCCCGTCTGGCTAACTCCTTCCTGACCTGCCTGTCTCTGCTTGAAAGGATAGATTAATGTTGAAAAAAGGGTTTCCCAATCAAGAATTACAAAGGAATTAGATGTCTTAAAAAAAAAAAGAATTACAAAGGAAGAGGGAAAAGCTGGAACCTTTGAGGAGACTTGGAGTATCCATTCACTCTTCACTTATTTCAGAAAGAGATATGAGTTAAGTGTTAGAAGAGTTTGTTTTAGCCAGACGTGGTGGTGGGTGCCCGTAATCCCTGCTGCTGGGGAGGCTGAGGCAGGAGAATCAGAGAATCACTTGAATCCAGGAGGCAGAGAGTACAGTGAGTCACTATCATGGCACTGTACCTCAGCCTAGGCAACATAGCAGGACCCTGTCTCAAAGGCTTTTTTTTTTAAGACAAGGTCCCGTCCTGTCGCTGAGGCTGAAGTACGTTAATGATCATGGCTCCTTTGGGAGGCCGAGGCGGGTGGATCACAAGGTCAAGAGATCGAGACCATCCTGGTCAACATGGCGAAACCCCGTCTCTACTACAAATACAAAAAATTAGCTGGGCATGGTGGCGCGTGCCTGTAATCCCAGCTACTCAGGAGGCTGAGGCAGGAGAATTGCTGAACCCAGGAGGCAGAGGTTGCGGTGAGCCGAGATCGCGCCATTGCACTCCAGCCTGGGTGACAAGAGCGAAACTCCGGCTCAATTAAAAAAAAAAAAATGATCATGGCTCTCTGCAGCCTCAATTTCCCAGCTCAGGTGATTCTCCCACCTCAGCCTCCTGAGTAGCTGGAACTACGGACTTCGCCCCCATCCCTGGCTAATTTTTCATATTTTTAGTAGGGACAGGGTTTGGCCATGTTGCTCAGGCTGGTCTCCAACTCCTGAGCTCAAGCAATTCACCCACCCAAAAGTTCTGGTATTACAGGCATGAGCCACCACACCAGGCCAGAATAATTGTTACACTTACTAATTTATTTATAGACAGAGTCTCACTCTGTTGCCCAGACTGGAATGCAGTGGCAAGGTCTTGGCTCACTGCAGCTTCCGCCTCCAGGTTCAAGTGATTCTCCTGCCTCAGCCTCCTGAGTAGCTGGGCACCTGCCTCCACGCCCAGCTAATTTTTGTACTTTTAGTAGAGATGGGGTTTCACTATGTTGGCCAGGCTGGTCTTGAACTCCTGCCTCAAGTGATCCACCTGCTTCAGCCTCCAAAGTGCTGGGATTACAGGATTACAGGCGTGAGCCACCTCACCCGACCCGGAAGAATTTTTAGAAAGCCACTTGTCTGGAGGTCACAAATGCCCCTGTTGCTAGGGGTCTGTCAGGGAATAAAAATGCGTAAGGTATGGGGTGGGGGTGGGGTGGGCTTAAAATGAGTAAGACAAAAGCACAACAACTAATGGAAGGTAGATTGGTATAACTATGTCAGAAACTCCATGCCAAGACTACCCAAGCTGAACGTGTGCACGCTTTGTCACTGCATCTCCAACAGATATGCATAATGTGTACTAATATGTGTATGAGAACATTCACAGCAGCAAGATTCATAATAACCAAACTGGAAACAATGCTAATGTGTGTCTGAGGTAGAATGAATACATTGTGAGATACTGAAGCAAAGGAATGTTACAAAGCAATGAAAATACATGAATGACTGGTACATACAATGAAGTGAATGGAGCCTACAATGTTGAGTGAAAGACACAAGACACAAAGTAGTATACTTCTGTGTGATTTTGTATAAAGTACAAAAACAAGCCAGGTGTGGCAGCTCATGCCTATAATCCCAGTACTTTGGAAGGCTGAGGTGGGTGGAACACTTGATGTCAGGAGTTCCAGACCAGCCTGGCTAACATGGTGAAACCCAGTCTCTACTAAAAAATACAAAAATTAGCTGGGCGTAATGGCACCCACCTGTAATCCCAGCTACTTGGGAGGCTGAGGCAGGAGAATCACTTGACTCCGGGAGGTGGAGATTGCAGTGAGCCGACATTACGCCACTGCACTCCAGCCTGAGTGACAGAGTGAGACTCTGTCTCAAAAAATAATAATAATAAATAAATAAAATGCTTAAGCAAAATTAACATGTACTATTAGAAGTCTAGAGTCTTGGCCGGGCGCAGTGGCTCACGCCTGTAATCTCAGCACTTTGGGAGGCCAAGGCGGGTGGATCACAAGATCAACAGATCGAGACCATCCTGGTCAACATGGTGAAACCCCGTCTCTACTAAAAATACAAAAAATTAGCTGGGCATGGTGGCGTGTGCCTATAATCCCAGCTACTCAGGAGGCTGAGGCAGAATTGCCTGAACCCAGGAGGCAGAGGTTGCGGTGAGCCGAGATCGCGCCATTGCACTCCAGCTTGGGTAACGAGCGAAGCTCCATCTCAAAAAAGAAAAAAGAAGTCTAGAGTCTTGGGGTATAATGGTATGTGGGAGAGAGGTCACTGAAAGGGGACATCAGGGGACTCTGGGGTCCTGGTGATACTCAGTTTCTGGATGGGACTTGCTACACCAGTGTATTTCATTCATGAATCTTAGGTTTCTCAAACTTTTTTTTTTTTTTGAGACAGAGTTTAGCTCTTGTTGCCCAGGTTGGAGTGAAATGGCATGATCTCAGCTCACTACAACCTCTGCCTCCCAGGTTCAAGTGATTCTCCTGCCTCAGCCTCCCGTGTAGCAGGGACTACAGGCGCCCGCCACCATGCCCAGCTAATTTTTGTATTTTTTTTAGTAGAGACAGGGTTGCACCATGTTAGCCAGGATGGTCTCAATCTTTTGACCTTGTGATCTGCCCACCTCAGCCTCCCAAAGTGCTGGGATTACAGGCATGTGCCACTGCACCTGGCTATGTATATATTTTTTTAAGATAAGGTCTTCCTCCTGGTTGCCTAGGCTGGAGTACAGTGGTGCAATCATGGCAGCCTTAATTTCCTGGACCCAAGCAATCCTTCATCTCGGCCTCCCAAGGACCTGGGACTACAATTTACCAACACACTCAGCTAATTTTTTGTATGTTTAGTAGAGACAGGATTTAGCCATGGTTCTCAGACTGGTTTTGAACTCCTGGGCTCAAGTAATTCACCTGCCTCAGCCTCCCAAAATGCTGGGATTACAGGTATGAGCCACTGTGCCTTGCCGATTTTTTAATTTTTTAAATGAGAAACCACAAAAAAAACAAATAAATAAACAACAAATGAGAAACCAGAAATGTACTTTTTTTTTTTTTCTGAGATGGAGTCTCGCTCTGTAGCCCAGGCTGGAGTGCAGTGGCACGATCTCGGCTCACTGCAGCCTCCACTTCCTGGGTCCCAGTTCAAGCAATTTTTCTACCTCAGCCTCCCAAGTAGCTGGGATTACAGGCACACACCACCATGCCCAGCTAATTTTTGTATTTTTTAGTAGAGATGAGGTTTCACTCAATTGGCCAGCCTGGTCTTGTGATCTGCCCGTCTCAGCCTCCCAAAGTGCTGGGATTACAGGCCTGAGCCACCGTGCTCGGCCAGAAATGTACATTTTTATATTAAATCTCTGGGTTTTTTTTTTTAAGTCTTTTTTTGTTTTTCTGGGGACAGGATCTCACTTGCATTGCCCAGGCTGAAGTGCAGTGAAGTGATCACAGCTCACTGCAACCTCAACCCCCTGGGCTCAAGCAAGCCTCCTCAGTAGCTGGGACTACAGGGACATGCCACCATACCTGGCTAATTTTTTGTATTTTTTTATAGAGATGTTGTACAGCCATGTTACTCAGACTGATCTTGAACTCCTGGACTCAGGCAAACTGCCTGCCTCAGCTTCCCAAAGTGCTGGGATTATAGGTGTGAGCCACAGCATCAGGCAAAAAGTTGGTGATTAATTAGACATTTAAAAATGCATTTTGGGGCCAGGTGCGGTGGCTCATACCTGTAATCCCAGCACTTTGGGAGGCCGAGGCGGGTGGATCACGAGGTCAAGAGATCAAGACCATCCTGGTCAACATGGTGAAACCCCGTCTCTACTAAAAATACAAAAAATTAGTTGGACATGGTGGTGCGTGCCTGTAATCCCAGCTACTCAGGGGGCTGAGGCAGGAAAATTGCCTGAACCCAGGAGGCGGAGGTTGCAGTGAGCCGAGATGGCACCATTGCACTCCAGCCTGGGTAACAAGAGTGAAACTCTGTCTCAAAAAAAAAAAAAAAAATGTATTTTGGGCCAGGCGTGGTGGCTAACGCCTGTAATCCAAGCACTTTGGAGGCCAAGGCGGGCAGATCACCTGAGGTCGAGAGTTCAAGACCAGTCTGACGATGGGGAAACCCCATCTTTAAAGAATAATAATAATAATAAAATGCATTTTGAGGCCTGGGCGAGGTGATCACTCCTGTAATCCCAGCACTTTAGGAGGCTGAGCGGGGTGGATCATGAGGTCAGGATCCTCATGGGTGTGGTAAAATATGGTGGCACAGGCCTGTAATCCCAGCTACTCTGGAGGCTACAAGGCTGAGGCAGGAGAATCGCTTGAATCTGGGGAGCAGAGATTGCAGTGAGCTGAGATCATGCCACTGCACTCCAGCCTGGCAACAGAGTGAAACTCCTCAAAAAAAACAACAAAAAAAAAAAATGCATTTTGGCAGGGCACGATGGCTCACACCTATATTCCCAGCACTTTGGGAGGCTGAGGTGGGCGGATCATAAGATCAGGAGTTTGAGACCAGCCTGGCCAACATGGTGAAACCTCATCTCTACTAAAAATAAAAAAATTAGCCAATGTGATGGCGTGTGCTGGTAATCCCAGCCACTCTGGAGGCTGAAGCAGGAGAATTGCATCAACCCGGGAGGTAGAGGTTGTAGTGAGCTGAGATCATGCCATTGCACTCCAACCTGGGCAACAGAGCAAGACTCTGTCTTGAAATGAAAAGTGCATTTTGTGGACCAAAAGAAACATGTCATCAGGTTGCTTTCAGCCTATAAACCATGAGCCATAAATTTGCAACCCATGAAATAGTGCAATTCTTTTTTTTTTTTCTTGATACTGAGTCTTACTCACTCTGTTGCCCAGGCTAGAGTACAGTGGCACCATCTGGGCTCACTGCAACCTCTGCCCCCTGGGTTCAAGCGATTCTCCTG